ATGAAAAAACGGCAGTGTATGTTAACCATGGTCACTGGGTTCGCTGGGTTCACGCCTCAATAAATACCATGTATGATGTTCCACACATCTGTATTCTCCGTTCTGGGCTTCGGCATTCATTAAATACACCAAGCAGCGTTTAAATCACATAAATGTCCAAGTTTATTCACTGTTTTCGCCGGTAGTCGCACAGTAATCTTCCGCGTAAACACCACCGTGGTGGGCGGTAGTGTGCACCGATCGAAAAAGTTGAAATTTTACTAATACATAGTGCTTGTATTTGGTTTATATTGATGCCGAATTTGTCACTGGACACCAAGTGTTCATAACAGATCTTGTAGCAGGTCATAAAGTATATGTACGTTTGATGAGAGAAAGAAATATCAAATGCAAGATCTTCCTCATTGAGTTTGGTGTCACACACACAAAACCGGACGGAGTGTATCCTGGGCTACGCTAACTGAAGGGTAGCTAAGTTGTTTTACATTAACCCATGTTTAGGTTATCACCCACATTTCAGCCAGTCACCTTACTGTTTGTCGAAGTAGATATGAACAAGGGGCGCTCGGCTTTGGCAAAATGGGAACACAAGGCTCGCGCCTGCTCCACCATTTCAGCACACCCTGTCACACTGCCGTTTATGTTTGCCAGTTTTATCCACGCAGATGTATTTCATGATGGAAACATGTAAACACAATACCTTGATACTTTGCATCAATTTCTCGAAGCAGAGAAACATTTCTTTGTATGTCCAAAGGCAGGGACTCCACACATTCCAGATAATCCTCCACATAGTTGACCAGTTGTTGCGACTTGTCGGCATTTGGATAGTGATGGCCTAACATCGTCTCTACGATGCATAGATGCACTAAAATAATATGGAGGAAATGAGAAAAATGTACTGTTAAAATCAAATGCTTGCCGACTTTGCAGCTTGTAGGGCAGTCCCAGGCAGCAGTTCACTTCAAACAAAACTCAAGCCACTGCGCATGCGGGTGTATTTTCCTTTTATGGTGTTGTACAGTTTCCTTTCATTTGTCGTAATCGAAGGCGGGGCCAGTTGGGTTTTCTGCATCGTGATTGGTTAAGAGTGACCTCATTATAATAAAAAATCTCCCGGGAAATTTAACCAATGGAGAAATTGAAAACACAGAGCTGCCATAGTTTAGACGGATTCATATTAAAGCAGAGCAGCAGCTAGATTAAAGGAACCTTAGTCAGAGGCCTAGTGATTAAACTAAAACCTATATCAGACAATAAATTCTCTCAAAATGTGTCTTAATGGATATACATAGATCTACACATCTAGCCATTTATTATTTCTGATCTATCATGATGAGGAATTTGGGAGACATGTTTAGATTAAAGAATTTTTTTAATCGAAGCAGAGGTATATTACACCTTAGAATGAATAAACATCCCAAAAAAATGGATCCTACACTTCCCATAATGCAACTGGATGGTGTCTTTCATTCTCTTCACTTGGTGAATGTCCATGTTTTAAAAAAAAATGTCATATTGAATCACGTTTTTGGATGTCTCGAGGCAAATTCAATATTTCTCCCTGATGATCTAGAGTTCTGTTTCTTACCCTGCAGAACGTAAGACATTATACAACTGTTGTCACAGTAATAGCTCCTCATGACTAGTAACTTGACTTTTATGTAAAACTTGGTGAAGAACCTCTTTAAAGTTGTTCCACTTTGGTTATTCTTGTGGGATTAGTTGTCACTTAAGCTTTAGTGATGGCAAGTTTGAGTCTTTTGACAGACTCGTTCATTCAAATCTCGTTCATTAAAATGAACTAATCTTTTCTTGAGTCATTTCGTTCATTTGAACTAGGCTGTTATTGTGGCGCGACAGTCCTCTAGTGGGCGATTACAAAACAGTGCTGTTCTCAAACACGGAAGGCTGCCTGGCATGCTTTATTTGACAAAGTATAATGCACAAATTCACCTCTTGATTACTGTATATCATCATTATATCAACCCCCCTGGGCCCACAACCAAATTCAAACCATGTAAAAACCACAGAAATATGTTGTCAATATTCGATTAAGCCACTACTCTGGCTAAATCCTTCCATTTTCACAATCTTTCCCGAATAGTATACAACCAGACCAGCCATATAAAGGCTTATGTATATAATTACTATCATTATCTCTAAAGTGCTCATTCATACAGCAGCCTAACGTCCCTATCCATGAGTAAAATATTAATATCAGATTTGTGAACTAATCTATTATTAATACTATTAAGCTTGTGCTGTTTTAGATAGAAGATATTCAGTGTATCAGTATTTATGGTCATGTTAAATATTACTGGGACAGAAAATTTAAGATGAACATTTATTATCCAGGAATTCCCATCAGCTTCATTGCAACAAGACCTTGAACTATAGAGGAAAACAAGCGCCAATGTTATATTTGATTTGATTTGATAATTTAGCTGTTTTTTAACTGTGTAAATACATTATTATAATAACACATTAGCTTTAATGTTGCTTTTGATTTCGTGTTGAACAGGGTAACTTTATTCTTTGTAATAAAGTATGTTTCAACATGATATTTGTAATTTTCTTTAATCGTAATTATTTGAACTCTTAACGTACGTTGCTTGTAAAAAGTGTTTGCTTGAGCCAGTTGAAGGAGCGGTACACATGGACGTGTGTGCATGTGATCAGGATGGTACTGCCCCCAACAGGAAAAACCTTGGTTTGAGTATATTCACAGCACTGCAAAAAAATCTACTTTACACTAGTCTGAGGTGAGACCAGCCCTGACTGTGACAATACTCAGGTTCCTACTTTTGGCTGCATGCTAGACACATTATGATAATTAAACAGTGTCAATGTGAACCACAGGCGTGTGTGTGTGTGTGTCAAACTATTTATTTCCTCTTTCTGTGTCACATGAAGTCGGGATCATCAGTGTTCTGAGTATTGATGCTATACTTTCCTTGTCCTTGTACTTCTTCTGCAGGTGCTACTACCGCTGCAACCACTTCTACTACTACAGCTTATACAGATGCATCTCAAAAAATGTAAAAAAAGATTCAACATTTTTGAGCTGCACCTGCTTAGTCTGGGCATTCATCAAGCTTTGCCACCGGGTTTCAAACCCAAATTAAATTCTTGTAAAAATATGAATTGCCACACTCATACTACTAGTTACAGAAAACGTGTTTTCTCCCAAACCAGACACACAGCTGTGCTGAAAAAACGATTTTCAGAGTACAGTGTGTACAGGTGCAGCTTAAAAATTAGAAATGTCTTTTTCATATTTTTTTAGATGCACCTGTAATGTTACTACTACTAAAACACTACTACCTCTACATTTATTATAACTACTATGACTACTACTATAGATAGCCTACTACTACTACAAGTACTACATTACAACAATTTCTGATACTGCTACTAATACTACTGCTTATACAACTGCTACAACTGTTACTATAATACTACTATAACTAATAGTGTTACGACAACTATTAAGACAGTAATAATACTATTACACCAGTACAACTCCGACTACAAATACTATTACTCTAACAAGTTGCCTACCACTGATAATACTATAACTAGGCCTACTACTACTAATGCTATAACTGCTACACCTACCACTATTATTACCAGTTACATACAACTACTATTTGTACATTAACAACTGATATTACAACTGTCACGACTATGATAGTTCTAGTGTTACTACTACTGCTGCAGCCAGAGTCACCTCCAGCCTCTAGGCCTGTTTATATTGGTGCTATAGTACTTCTTGCAGTTGCAGAGCTGGAGTCCCCATGTGCACTTTTGTCAGTAAAATATATGTTATGTTAGTAGTTGACATGTGGCCATGTATGTGGCCTAAATAACATGGGGAGGAATCAAATGAACAAACCGGCAGGTCTGGTGTGTGCAGTCAGTCCAGTTTAGCACAGAATTCGTTTCGTTATGGTGGAAAATGACACGTGACCGTTCGCTCCAGTTTTAGGCAATGGGTTCCCTCCCTGTTCTCATCGCTTTCGTTTCCTGGCTATTACTGATAGTTCACAAGTTTAAAGGAATCAAGAGCTTAAGAATCAACACCAGCGCTTCCGGTTTATGCTTTCAAAATAAAATCGCCGCTGTGCCTCTTCTCATCATCATCTCTGTTTATTATGGGTGAGCCTGTTTCATATCCTCCTACTCATGAAACACAACTAATTAGTTAAAATTCCCACCTGACCGAGGAGATTTTAATTAAAACGATATACTTCATTGACAAATCAATTAAATGATGTCAAATCTGTTGTGAAAATCTGCACTTAAAACGGATTCAGGTACAAGCACTTAGAACTCCTTAATCCAAATCTTTTGTTTGTTTTATTTTATTAATCAATTTATTCTATTTTTTAAATTCAGTATTGATTTATGTGCTTTCCTTTCACTAAACAGCTGAAAATAGGAAACATTGGGCAATATTGCGAATGATGACTGTAAATGTTGCTGAAACTGAAATAAAAACTAAGGAAAAATAAACTCCTTGATCCACTCAGAAAACCCATCAAAACCCCTTTACATATATTACAACTTGAATTTGCAATTTACTATTTGAATGAACTGGCAAAATCTTAACGCCCTTTTAAGATACAAATTTGGCAGCACTTTGTAATGTTACACAACCCATTAACGTCCATAACAAATCTACAACAAAGCTGGGAAAAACCTACTCCAAGTCCAAAATCCTAATCCTTCACACTGGTGTCTAACAATGAAATATAAGATTTAATATAATAGCATTTGTAATAAATAGAATATTAAATTTTTTAGACCAATTGGTTCAATTTGTTACTATTGACAGAAGGGTAACATGGGACGAGAGCCCCCTGGGGTAAGATGATCATTTAAAATAAGCTGAAGATAAAATCTAATTGTATCTTACCCCAAAATAATACTTCTGTACTGTTCTGCAATTTGTCTTTGACAACTTGAGGTGCTTTTATTCTCTAAATTGAACATTTCCGGTCCTGGTGTGTGCCTGGCAGCTTGACTCGGCGGTGTAGTTATCAGTGGAGACGCAGCGCCGCAGTTGATCATTGAAGTGGTGAAGTGCAGCAGAAACCTGTCATCATGAAGAGGACTGCTGTGTTCGTTTTTGTAGCCTTCTGTGCTGTCTCAGGTAAAACTCTTTGTATCTCGACGAATTTGGCAAAATCTAAGCAAAAACATTGGATAGAGGGATGTTTGTATAAAACAGTTCTACTGCAGTGTATGAATAAGTGGTCTATTTATAATAACGCAGCAGATTTTCTTCACTTAGTGACGTGTCAAAACCAAGATTGTAAATAGTAGAACTTATTACTGTATTGTGGATATTGTGTGCAGTCTGTATGCTTTGATCAGGCTGTCAGAAAGTCGTAGAAGTGAGACATTTTATGTTTTTATGAGCCCTCACTGTGACTTCCTGGATTATTTTGGGGAACAGAAATTTCCGCAGTCTTTCGATTGTGTTACAGGTCTGAGTCACATGTCTGCTGGTTAGAAAAGGGCTGTGTTTTTTTAGATAGGATGAATCTGCAACTTGTGTTGAAGGTCAAATTCCAGTGTTGAAAAATCAGTGAATATTGGTATTTGAAATTTTACTCCACTTAAGCTTGGCTTTCCTTGGGAGTACAATTAATATTAGTAATTATCTTTTAAGTGCAAATAAGTGAAATGTATTACTCTAAAATAGAGTGGTCTTTTGTACAAATAGTAATTTGCGTTCACTGTGGTGGTTGCTTACTTGATGATGACCACTGACTGGAAGTCATAGTTTGCATAGTTTGCAGTCTGGCTCATGCTGAACACAATCAGTTACATGAAAGTGACACTTGCTGACACTCAAGTCCAACACACCTGTTCCATCTGAATCCTAAAATGGAACATTTCAGTTCAATTCAGTTCAATGTGCTGTATTGGCCTGAATGTTTCATGTTGTCAAAGCTGTTTGTAACAAAAACAAAAAGTTTACATTTCAATATGACATAACAAGAATAATGCAATCAAGACTATTCAATTTAGCAGTCATAAGTTCCAAAAACAAAAATTGCAAGTACAGATAGAAGGTAAACTACAAACAGAATGAACAAGATTTAACGTGCCATGCAGCGAACACTGACTGTAACATTTGGCTGATTCACTTGCTGTCCCTCAGGTTGACATTTCAATAACCCTTGCCTTAATCTGTAGACAAAGCTGCATACTGAAAACACGTGTGCTGGTGTACTTTAATACGTCAACATGAAAAACAGTCATGCTATCAAACTCTGCCAGTCAGCTAATTTTATTGTATTTGTTTAGAGAACAAAAGTCATGTGAAAGGGATCACTTGTGGGCTGTTGACACACCCCCAGATAATTATCACCCAACCCTGCAGTTACTCTCAGCTCAATGGTGTTTTTAGCCTGTTTTAGCTCATTGTTTTGGTTTTACAGCCCGCAAATTAGGCTATTATTTCAGTAGCAGTAGGCAGGGTTGGGGGAAAATCTATTTCTAAATGCATTGCGGTTGTCTTTTCAAAGATTGTCTTGATGCAGAATGGTAAATAATAATCGGAAATGGTTGATCTCCCAACCTGCTGCCACCACAACCACTGAACTCTCATTATGTTATGAGGTGGAGCTCTCAGCACACTTAATTTTCATTGGCATCTGCCGAATGTGTTATTATCGGAACAGACAGAAACAGACTGGAAGGTGAGTCCTCCCTGCAGCGTTCAGGCAGCCTGCCACTGCATATTTGGACTGTGTCGCAGTAATGTGCTACAGAGTGTTTAGCGCTGCGTATATGGGATATACTATACGTGGTAGAGAATACCAAATTACAAAGGGCTTGAGCCCCAATGTGCCTTTGTGTGTGTAGTTTAATCAGTCCGTTGGTTGTATTGACCTGTATAAACAAGCACAAGATCGGTAATTAGTCTCAGGTCAAAGAGCATTACTGATTTTGTTTACTTATTAACATGTCATAACACCCACTGTAAGAATTATGGCCAATGAGCCCATGAGAATGTTTTCAAAGAATTCTTCAAAATACATAGTTTCTGCATTTATACAAGCATAATGCAAGTTGTCTAACTAAACTTTTGCCTTTGGTGTGAGAGACAATCCCCCACTGTGACCCATCCACCATTGTGTCCCCGAGCAAGACACTTAACCCCTAGTTGCCCAGAGGCGTGCGACCTCTGACATGTATAGCAATTGTAAGTCGTTTTGGAAGCGTCAGCTAAATGAATAAATGCAAATGTAAATGTAAACTAAACGATAATGGAAGTAAATTCTGTACACTATCTGCCCAGCACCAAACAGACAGACAAAGTCAATGACTAGCTGTGAAGAACATCTCGCACTTTAGAAAAGGCAAGTGTTTTTCTCAGTAGTTGGTAGAGACCAAAACAAGGTTAAAAGGAGAAAATTTAACTTTTGTTTTTCATTTTGCACAACTCCAAATGAATGACAATGTTGCTCTGAGCCTGTTAGACATGTACAAAGGCAATGCTTGCTAACCTGTTAAACATAACAACTTAATTTTAGCCAATAATATGTCAGATGAGTGTCAAAAAAATACATAATTCATTTTTAAGCAGAAGATAACTAAGTTGGGAAGTGGTTTATGTATGAATATTGAAACTGATTTTTTTCTCCCGCTCTGTCTTTTTGGCTGAAGCTCTGTCATCGATGGTAGATGAAAATAAATCCAAACCTTCTGCAACCGTGTCCCCTGCGAGTGAGTTTGGTGCCACATCTGCTTTTACCAAGCCTGCCCCCACCACCACCACCAACACCACCACCACCACCACCAACACCACCACCACGACTGCCACCACCACCAACACCACCACCACCACCACCAACACCACCACCAAGCCTACCACCACCACCACCAACACCACCACCACCACCACCAACACCACCACCAAGCCTACCACCACCACCACCACCAACACCACCACCACCACCACCAACACCACCACCACGACTGCCACCACCACCAACACCACCACCACCACCACCACACCACCACCAAGCCTACCACCACCACCACCACCAACACCACCACCACCACCACCAACACCACCACCAAGCCTACCACCACCACCACCACCAACACCACCACCACCAAGCCTACCACCACCACCACCAACACCACCACGCATGCAACCACCACCACCACCACACCTGCAACCACCACCACCAAGCCCACACCTACTCAGCCCACTAACTTGACTGTAGGAAACTATAGCTTGAAGAAAGACAATATGATTTGCCTGATGGCTCAGATGGCACTACAGATCCGACTGGCAACACCACAGGTATGTTTCATCAGTCACAATAGACACAGCAAGAGCCCCAGAAAAGATAGTTCAATGGTCTAGCAAATGTTTAAGCAGATTCTAATCTTAAAACTTTCTTTTAGGGATTTAGTAAGCCATTAAATATCTCAACATGGTTAGAACTTTCTGCACGTGCCTCTGACTCAGCTTACAGCAATGCAGTTGTCAGCATCCTATTTTCAGGAATTGAGAAAATGTTTTCACGCAAGTTTAGATTTCCTCATTGTGGTGCATTTGATGACCGCGGAAGGTTAGCCATGTGTCATCTTTGTGTCATATGAAGAAGTGTCATATGATAACATTCTGATACAAAGTGGCCAGCCAGTCGCCTGATTTCTCTCTGTTTATCTTTCAGCTCAATGGAACCTTCATTGTTCAGCCACATTTGACCAAAACACAAGGAGGTTGTCAGGAAACCACTGTCAACTTTACCATTGCCTTCAAAGAGGGCTTCATCAACTTCATGTTTAACAAGGTACTTCTGATTTCCTAGATTTGTCACAAATATAGAAGTATAATGTTGAGAGCTGGCATGAGGTTAGCCACTAGGTGTGTTCGAGATGACTGCGGCTGACTTTCGCCGACTTGATAGTCTAACGTGAGCGGCAGGCGACTGCAGGGGCGGGGTATAAAGCTGGACACATTCTACCTGCATCAGCTTACTTCAAGGTTTGTCATGTGACATGGTGACGTTTTGCAGCACCAGCGAAAGTTGGACACAATTTCTAACCAGCATGCCTTTCAGCATACATCACATTAAGTCAGCACTGCGCAGCGCCGCATGAAGTCAAACTTACCTACTGTTTTTGCAGTATCTACCACATCCAAGTGCCTATCCTTAGATGTGCTCACACTGATTTGGCATTATAATAATAAAAAAGGGCAATTAAATGCTTTGATTTTAATACAATTAACCAATTAATAAATGAATACTTTTTTAAGTAGTAACTCCATATACGAACTGGAATCAGAGGAGAATTGTTAAAAAAGGGAAGTTTAGTTGACCAGCCTGTTCAAAGAGCATGTGACAGGGAAACTGCCTCACTCCACAACACTTGTGTGGATTTCAATATTAATGAGGCTTAAAGAAGCATTAACACCAATAGCCATCTCACACTAATTATATTTGTAAATGTCTGGCCACCACAGCTGGTGCAGTAACTGAGGTCCACCAAACAAAATGTGTCATAGGGTTAGGGTTGTGTAGTATTTTACTGAACTCAACTAATGATTTTGATTAATCTTCTGTCTATTGATTAATGGATTTATAAACTAATGGCTCCAACTCTAATCTGCTCATTGAGTTCGAATCCTTTCAACTTTTAGCAAAGCTATTTAGGTTTACCACTTAACAATTGTAATTAACAGAAGTTACAAACAACTTATAAACTGAAACTCAAAGATTGACATTCAAAGAAAGATAACTATAAAAACTGTCCTACTGAGGACATATTTCTTTTTCAACTACCGTAACATTCTTGCCATTGGTCTTTGCTAAAGATAAAGTGAGATAGAAGATTTGATGACCAAAATTAGGTTATTTATCAGAAAACCCAGCTTTTAGAACCCTACTGTGAACAAATAATGATACCTTAGAACAGGGGTTCTTAACCTTTCTGGCAGTTGGACCCCCCCCCCCCCCCCCCCCCCCCCATAATTATTCTCATTTTCACTGAAAAACATGAATAATGGTGTGACCTGAACCAAACAAAGATGTTTTCTTAAGTCTGTAGAATATGATGTGTGGGACATCTCTGAAGTAACACAAAATGTAATTTAAAATGGTATTTTGACACACATTTCACCTTTAACAAATTTTGATACAATTTTAAGTATTTAGAATTTTCCTTGAACACCCACCAACACAGGATAACAATCTTTTTGTTTTTTTTCCTCAGAGCACTGCAGATAATACTGTCTACGTTGATGCTCTGTCTTTCGAACTCTCCTACCCCTTTGGCAAAGGAGGTAAGTAGGGAAATGTCTTTTTTTCCACATTTCAATCTAGTCCATACGTATGATTTACTGCCATTTTATCACTTCAACTCCAGACTCTTCTAATTGGGTCACTGCATGTGCAATGATATTTTAGCTGCAGGTGGGGGTTGCACAAAACAGGCAAATACTGACACTGACAAGAAACATTCAAGAGCCAACAATTTCCTTGTTTGTGTGTGTCTTTTCAACTATATATAGACATAATCTTTGAAATTACTGTGTACCTGCATTCATTGCAATGTGGTGTATCTAGTTTGGTTCCATATCTGATCATCCGCATTTGTTTTCATGGCAGTCATCATTAGAAGAAGACATACTTTTTTAATCCCACAAGGGGAAATTTTGCACTGAAAAAACTTGAGAATTGCTTTGTTTCATTGTTCCAGGGAATGGTGGGTACTCTGCCAACAACCAGTCAGTGAATCTCTTTGCGGCAACGATTGGACACTCCTACTCCTGCAAGGCTGAATCACTCTACATGGGGAACGGACTGTACCTGGATGTCAATCAGGACAGGATGCAGGCCTTTAATCTGAAAAATAACATCGACTTTGGCACTCGTAAGTGTCTTCATGAAGAAAGATTCATCAGGGATCATTTTTATGGGTCATTAAGAGCTTCTTATAAATACATGTAGCTAGCTGCATTGTTAGATCCATTAATGTAAGTAAAAAGTACTCCTTATACAATGACGCAATACCCAGTGTTAGGAGTAACGTGTTACAAAAGTAACGCAATTACATACATTTTAAATGTATTTAGTAATTCCACAAATAAATATCAGACATTAATTATAATTATATTACTGAAACTTTTAATATTAAATTTCCAAACTGAATGTTTGTGCTGATTGTGGCACATTCTCACACCTTTTCACAAATCTATGTTGAGTCCCACCCTGTTATTGAATTGACAGTTGTGAGGGGAATATATACAATTGCTCACATCATGTACTTTAAATACTTTAGTAGTAGTATTTAGAGTGAAGCAACCACAAACAAAATATTGATCTTTGTTTTGCACACTGGTGGATAGGCTTCTAATCTTGTTGCACAAATTGTAGGTACAACTATTTTTATACATTATACTTGCTCATGCATGTGGCAGGCTGCACACTAAAGCAAATGTTGTGATTGGTTGAACTTTGAACCCAGCATACACATTGCTCTGTGCTGAAATTAAAAATGTTGGAGAAATTAGCTTGGTCTGAAAATTACAGATATGAATAATCATAAGTTGGTATAAAGACACCTGTTATGGAGGTCAGCTGCTGCCGCTATTCAAATTCAATTCATAAATGTGAAGATGTAAATTTGTAATTATGTTGGCATGATGTATGATAAAATACTGAAATACTTCACTTTTTATTCCACTGCATTTACCTGACAGCTGTGGTTACTTAATTTTGTTAGTCATGAGCACAGAAACGGGCTTTGCCATTTCTATTTTAATAAATTATTTTGTAAAATTGGCAGTCATATACTTCCATACCGAAGGTGCAGTAAATGAGGGTCCATGATTGACTGGGTTTTATTTGTTGTCAGAAGTAAATCTGATGTATGTGTGTGTGTGTGTGTGTTTTCCAGCTGACCCATGTGCTGCTGACCGGCCTGATTACCGTGTTGCTATTGCGGTGGGAGTGACATTGCTGGTGCTCATTGTCATCGTTGTGATAGCCTACCTGTTGGGCCGCAAGAGGAGGACCGATGGCTACCAGTCTCTGTGAGGGAGGCTAGGCAGAGATCGATCAGAGGTCACCTCCATTATAAACCAAAATCATTGAGGCTGTGTGTTCCAAGGGGTTAAAGGGCACTTCCACTAAAGCCTATCCTGACATTTTCTTGTCCTTTTATGTTTATTTTAACATATTATCAGTGTTTTACCATAGGCCCAATTATAGAGGCGGGAGTGTGCCACTGGAATAATTGTAGAACTTGAAAGTGTTTGACTATAAATTTGGCCATTTAAATGATATTATAAATTGATTAATTGATCAAATTAGCACTTGAAAGTTGTAATAATATAATAATAATAATAAATGATAAAAAGATCATTAAATTTCCCAATGAATGAATTTACTCTTTCTTTAAATGCTGAATTAATAATTGCCCAGCTGTTATTTGTACTGGCTAATCAGAGCTCCATCTGTTGTTGTGTGGGTATGACTTTAATCTAACTTTTAGGTTAAGCAATGCTTAAAAATCTTTAAATAAAAAAACATAATCAATGTTAGATTAAATCGATCACAAATCAAAATGCTAAAGCAGGCACACTTCTTAAACATCTTTAGATTTAATTAAACCACCAAAAAACTAAATTTATTCAGTGATTAAAATTTCAATTAAAACATAACACGTAAATGTTGTAGCAGGAAACAAATTAATTGTGTGATGTATTATGATAGACAGGCATGTAAGCCAATGGAAGAACAGAAAGTTAAAAAATTTAAAATTTAACAAGTTTACAATTCATTTTGTTTTCATTTTTAAAAATCAATTATTATTCATTATTTAAAGAGTGAACAAGGATATAATTAGTAATTGTCAGAATGAATGTTTTAATAATACATCTCTATTAATCAATTTTTATAATAGCGTTTGTATTATTATTCCAGTGGCAAATGGGTTTTGAACAGCCAATATAAAACATCACTTTTAAATTTAACATGCCAATACCCAAACTTTATGTGAGATTTTAATGCCAGACAATTACACAAGTTTGACCCAAAAATTGTAATCTGATCAGGTTGGACAAGCCTCTGAAAAAGCATTTCTATACTTGGGACACTAAAAAGGATGATGCTAATAGTGACAGATCTATAAAGCCTGACATCTACATAGACTTACGTAAAAACTGACCAAAATGTTCCATTAGAATCAGTTATTGTTCTCCCACAGACAGCCAGTGTATTAGTGGTAAGTACTGTGATAATTGTGTCATTGTATATTTTTGACAAGAGGCTAACATTGGCTCCTTATATCAGTTTAAAATCACATAAAAAGTCAGATTTTTCCATGTGTTCTATGTGCATTATATACAGCTTGTCTCATCCAATATTCTAAAAAGTTCATTTAAATTTTACTTAATCGTTTTAGGATTGTGTGTGTTTAAATGTTTTGTTATTTTTGTATTCTGTCATCCAGGGATATTATTTTTAAATAGAAGGGAAGTTATCCAATCACTAACTTTACAGGTGATTATTCTGAGTGTGTTTGCATTGTGAATAAGCACAAAGGGAAAACAACGACTATGTTTGTTTGGGGATTATTTCTACCTGGTCAACAATAATTGCACTGATTGCTAGCCCAACCGATTAACTTTCTTTTTCATATTGTATGTAGCTAATGCTGTGTTTTCATAGAAATACAGGGATGGACCGTCTATGTGGGTCAGTCATGATTTTAGTCTGATCCTCATTAGATCTTTAAGGGTTAAAACATTCATCACATCTCAGGAATGCATCGCTCCTTCCCTAAGGCTGCTCTGATACACTGTACTGCCTTAAGTTCGAAATTTTGGGAAATCTGTGAATTCGCTTTTTAGCTGTTTTCCCCAGCTGTTTTCAGTCTTTATGCTAAGCTAAGCTAACTGTCTCCTGGCTCTAGCTGCATACATAATAGACAAATATGACAGTGGTATGGATCTCATCTAACTCTTGACAAAAAAGCAAGTAAGCATATTTACCAAAATGTCGAACTGGTCCTTTAACTATGCAAAACTGACAGACTGATTGTGATAACCTCCATTGTTCTCTTAGGCATATTTCTCAAAACCTGGACAAATAAAACCAAAGAGGTAGTTGTGAAAATGTTTTTGGTTTTCTCTTATGTGTGAACTGAACCTTTAAGTATTCTGAATAGTAATCTAGACTTACCTTTAGTAATACTTGGATTGCTTGTGTTGATATAATGAAAAGTAGCATGGAGGTTGGAGTAGGCTGTCTAGATGTGATGTGTTTGATTGATTCCAGTCCATCCCTGTGTAAACGTCCCTCAGTAAATGCCAGCTTCTGAGGGACGTTACTATGTACAGTTATCCACAGTGTGTGAGCACATTGTTAACTTTCTGTGCCAATAAAGACTGATGTATTTCTGTACGTGTGTGTGTTTGATCTGCAGCCTCCACAGCAAATGTGTGTGTTGCGATTGTCCTTATCAGTTTACATGTCTATGAAGATTCTCAGTCATCCAGGTCATAGTTATCCAACAAAGGTTAAAAATCAAGGGCAACTGGACTTGGTTGAAGATACTGGAAGACGTTTCGTCCCTCATCCAAAGGACTTCTTCAGTTCTGACTGACTGGCAGGGAAACTCAGCTATTTAACCTCAGTGGGGTCGTTGGCCCGGGTCATCGATACCGCTGGTTCGTAAGTGTTCCTTGTTGCTGTGACGACAGTCGTTACAGTCGTTAAGACTACCTGTGGCCAAGACTGAACGACCATCGTTGGTATCTTCACATTCACCTATTGGCCTCAGGCCTTCCAGTATCTTCAACCAAGTCCAGTTGCCCTTGATTTTTAACCTTCGTTGGATATCAGTTTACATATACACAATGTGTTGACTCAAAGGGGGGAAAAACTAGTTTGGATGTGTGAACTCAACACAGACAACTTCCGTAGTTTGCAAAACTGTTTAGTCTAATAACAGACTTCGACAAGCAACAGCGTGTGCATGGCTACACGGTCAAAAACTGTGTGCTTCTCCCAGTCCCCAATCACTCCCACTTGTGCTGGTAAGTTCACCTATATGCCTTCCTGCATCCATACACAACACAGTGGTGTATGGATGCAGCTGATCGCAAGAGGATGGCAAATAGAGTCAGAGCCAAGATTTACTAAAAACTGCCACTCAGTTCCTAAAATTTGCACGTCACATGAATGTCTTGGTTGCAAGTGTGGCTTTTGTTTTGATACGCAGAATGTGTGAAAATAAAGAAATCATAAGAAATCATCACATTAGCAAATTTAATGAAAGGCCCCAGGACAGCAGAAACTCCATGCCCTACTTAAATAATTTATAGCATTTGGCGCAAGTGCACTTAGGGCAGGTCCAACACTAGCTAGTTAAATGCTGCATAATCTGGACGCTATACACGTCATAAGTTATACAAAAACTAAACTAAAAACTGTAGTTATAAACCTGATAGGACAGACAGGAAACTCTCCAGAGGAAACTGAATTAAACTTTTAGCTTCTGAAATCCATGTTTAGTTGCTCTGATGGAGCTCAGGATTGATCAGGAGGATGGCTCCAGTTTACTCCAGTTTCCCTGTAGGAACCTGAACTGTGTGTGTGAGCTTTTGGATGTGTGGAAGAACACAGAACATCTCGGGTTACGTATGTAACCCTTGTTCCCCGAGAAGGGGAACGAGACACTGCGTCGGTGACGACACTATGGGAACGCCTCTGGGCGTGGCAGGGCTGAACTGAACGGTAGTGTGTGACGGCGTAACCGGAGGGGTATATAAGCATGCCGGCACATAGGACACATTAGCCCTTTCTATGAAGCAAGGCACTCCAGGCGGGGTGAGGTGTGGCGGACCGACGCAGTGTCTCGTTCCCCGAGAAGGGGAACTCGAACTGGTGACGACGGTCGGTGACGACACTATGAGAACGAGATACCCACTTAGGCCACGCCGAAACCCCGCGTGCCCCCCAGCGTGCAGAACCTGACGGCACGACTAGGAGGAGAGCGCACGGGTGCCGGGTGCAGAAGGAAGGTCCAGACTGTAAAACCGGATAAAAGTGTGAGGGGTGGCCCAGCCAGCCGCGTCACACAAATCCTGGAGTGACGCCCCTGCGAGGAAGGCCCTAGAAGCCGCCATGCCTCGAGTAGAGTGCGCCCTTACGGCCATAGGTGAAGGCAAACCACGCACCTGATAGGCCAGGGAAATAGTCTGAACGATCCAGTTGCTGATGGTGTGTTTAGAAGCGGGGAGCCCAGCCTTGGGGGACACCAGCAACTGGTCTGCTTTCCTCCACCGGGAAGACCTCAGAGTGTAAATACTCAGCGTCTGACAGGGCAGAGCAGATGAAGTCTCCCGTCCTCCGCCGTCACAAGGTGGGGGATGAAACCTGGAGATCCCCCACCCGCCTCAGAGAGGTGATAGCGAGGAGAAAGGTCATCTTAAGGGTCAGGTGCTTGGCCTCAGCCGACTCCAGGGGTTCGAAGGGGGCCTCAGCCAGCGCTTCGAGAACCACTGCCAGGTCCCAGGTGGGAACCCTGGAACGAGTCACGGGTCTCATCCTCCTGGCTCCACGGAGGAAGCGCAGTCAGTGGAAGCCTCCCCAAGGGCCCATCACTCAGAGGGGCGTGGAATGCTGCAATGGCAGCCACATACACTTTGAGCGTGGACGGGGAGAGGCCAGCGGAGAAACGGTGCTGGAGGAACTCCAGTTTCACAATTACCGAGCAGGTAACTAGGTCCACCGCCCGTTCTCTGCACCAGGTGGTGAACACATTCCACTTTAGGCCATACATCCTTCTCGTGGACGGGGCTCTGGAGCTGAGCAGCGTGTCGACTGCTCCTGTCGTCAGGCCTGCCCCCTGAGGGCCCAGACCCATAGCTGCCACAGGGCGGGGTGCGGGTGAAAGATCCGGCCCTCCGCCTGGGACAGCAGGTCTCTCCTCAGAGGGACCTGCCAGGGCGGGCCCTCGAGGAGCGATATTAAATCCGAGAACCACACTAGTGCCAGCCAAAACGGGGCTACTAGTAGTAGACTGACTGTCCTGGTGGACCCGCTCCAGAACCCCCGGGAGCAACTGGGGGAAACGCGTACAGACTCAGTAGTTTGCTGCCCACCGACGGCTGCTGCACCACCTGTGGCCAATCATTGTGCAGCTTGGCCACAGCCCCTTCATCACCACTTCTAACAACTCCTCATATCCTGGCGAGGGCTGATGACGTTCCGTTTCCCCGAAGTCATTCTCCATGCTAAGCACATCTAGCTCCTCAGAGCCAGATCGTGCAAGCCTCTCCGAACTCATCCCTCGAGTGGGAGAAACCGAGAAACAGGCTCCCGGTCGGGGACGAGGGGAGGAGGATTCCGCGGACGAGGACCAGAAAAAGGCCTCAGCTGTTCCGGCACCCTCGGCGATCTCGCGTTGCGATCCCCAGGATCGGAGCCACCACGACGCCTCAGCGACCGCGGGGCCTGTGCCACGGGGGGAGCGCATCCGACCATCCTCTAGAAAAAGAGCCGCTCGAGACATCAGCACCCTCAGGGGCAGGGCCTCGCAATGGTCGCAGGCAGCCCCCTCGAGAGCTGCCTGGGCGTGCGACATCCCCAGGCATCAGACGCACATCCCATGGGTATCACCTTCCGTGATGAAACGCTGACAGGGAAAGACACACTGTCGGAATCGCTTCGACATGATGTGCTTCGTCTCGACTTCAGGTAGGATGATGGAGCATCCAAACATAGCCAGAGTGCCTGCTGAATAGAAAGAAGCTAATGTGTCCTATGTGCCGGCGTGCTTATATACCCCTCCAGTTACGCCGTCACACACTACCGTTCTAGTAACACCAATAGGATTGGAGTAGTTTCATTCATAGTTCAGCCCTGCCACGCCCAGAGGCGTTCCCATAGTGTCGTCACCGACGCAGTTCGAGTTCCCTCAAAAGGGAACAATAACATTAGATCTTGACCCATCCTGTCGGCGTGTCTGAGACTTTAATAATGAATGAAGTTACTGCAGTGCTGACCCTCTGACTTTAAACCAGGTTTTTGTTGGTCAATGGCACAATTGCTTTCTGCTTCAAGATAGCAGTAGGCTATGCCTGACCACACCTCATTTCAAGACCAACACTCCCATGGGTGCACAGATGGGCGCCAGTCCACAACATGGGTGCTAGGTGTAAAAAATGACAACTGCATTGGACGGAAAGCAGAAATGACACTTGCAACATCATTTGCACCGCTTTGCGGCAAGTGTGTGATAAAAATATTGAACTTTGAACGGGAATGCCATCTACAGTTTCACTGTTGTAGGCTTGTGGTGGTCTGTGGGCCATACCTGACTCTCCAAAACAAATATTTGTCCCCCTGACAAAAGCTCTCATGCAAGCTTACATCAAAAAGTTGATGATTCTTCATACATTTTGATCTAAATTCAACCATGCTCCAGCAGCTTGGCTTTAGACTACAGTCTGCCACAACAGTCATGATGAGAGGAGACAAAAGATGATTTGTTCCAGCTGGATTAATTTATTTCTTTAATTTCACTTGCAATTTAAAAATGTCCCTTCTGGAAACTTTTTGGCCATTTTTCTAATCTCTTAGACGACCTTAATGTTCCCATGACATAAAGATTTTTTCATAGTTACAGATGCCAGATGTTTTTAAAGGCATAACTAATTTGGTGTTTAATAGAAGCTCTAGTAATTAAGGGGTTCGTTATACCCTTTGTGCAATGTTTAAACAGTATAATAGTATAATAATTAAACAGTAATAGTGTATTTCTTATTTATTTAACTAGTTTTAATAATTGTATTTAAATACAAAACCAAGAGCACAAATTACAGTGACACTTACATTTAAGTAAACAAACCAATGATTAAAATAGAAAAACAAACACACACACATACACTGTAAGCAATAATACTTCTTTTTGTGCTCTCTCAAAAAACAATGCTTTACATTCCAGAATCAGATTCAAGTCCCTAATACTTGCATACAGAGTTACTACTGGGTCTGCACCCATCTACCTAAACTCCATAATACAAGTTTACGTTCCTTCTCGGCCACTACACTCCTCCAACGAACGCCGCCTGGCTCTGCCATCCCTACACACAAAGCGATCCCAGGCTGTGACACCACGATGGTAGAAAGAGCTACCACACGCCATTAGAGCAGGGGCGTCCCTCTCTAACTTCAAGAAGCTCTTGAAAACTCATCTCTTCCGAGAACACTTCCTTTTATAACATCTCTAACTCCTAACCTCTAACATGCACTTCCTGTGCTCTTCTTCTTCTGTCTCCTACAATTATCTTGTATTGATTGCACTTTTTGTTAACTCTAACTTCTTTCCCTAGGTATTAGGGAAAGAAGCACTAGCACTTACAAGTATTTATTGCTGCTTTTATTAATATGTATTGTCAGTTGTAGATCTCCTGCTGTATTTGATGCTCTGTTGATGCTTGTATGTTGTTCCTCAAATGTAAGTCACTTTGGATAAAAGTGTCTGCCAGATGGGTAAATGTAAATGTACATTATGCCATTATGTTTTTCAGTTTTTTTAAACTATTTCTTATGGAGGACCGATCCTGACACAGGCAGAAATAAATACAGAAATAAATAAATGCTCAATAAATAAATAAGCATCCAATTAAATACACAAAAAAATAAAGTAAATAAATAAATGTAGGTAGTAATTAAATTATACAAGGAGACATAAATGTATATATTTTAATTACTGCCTTTACTTATTCAACTTTGTTATAATTACATTATTTATTTATTCTCCGTTATAATCTTCAACTTTATTTATTAATTACAATTTTTTTTTATGTATTTATTTATGTGTGTGTTTTAATATTTTTGTCTGTTTTATTCTTCCTTTGTATTTTTTTACCTTATTTATTTTCACCCATGGTATTTATTTCTGCCTGTCCTTTTTAAATTTCTGTATGCATTTCTGCTTCATTATGCAAATGAGGAGGGGCTGTCAAGGGGTCATCTTCTGCCCATTGGTGGATCAGTCAGACGGGAGAGCTCCTTCTCTGCTTGCAGACATCAACGAGCTGCTCTTCACACAGTCAGATGGCTTCCTTCAGTGCGCTGAGGTGTTTAACAACTCTGAAGACAATACGACCAGCCATGTCTTCCTTCTCTTTTCACGTAGACGCTCCGACAGACAGTGCTTTCAGTTTGCTGCATGCATGGACAGAGAACTGCGGTATAGGGAGAAGCACACGATCAGTTATCCAACGAAGGTTAAAATCAAGGGCAACTGGACTTGGTTGAAGATACTGGAAGACGTTTCGTCCCTCATCCAAAGGACTTCTTCAGTTCTGACTGACTGGCAGGGAAACTCAGCTATTTAACCTCAGTGGGGTCGTTGGCCCGGGTCATCGATACCGCTGGTTCGTTAGTGTTCCTTGTTGCTGTGACGACAGTCGTTACAGTCGTTAGGACTACCTGTGGCCAAGACTGAAGAAGTGCGCTGAGGTGTTTAGCAACTCTGTTTGAAGACACTACCAGCCATTTCTTCCTTCTCTTTTCATGTGGACACTCTGACCTACAGAGTTTTCAATTAGCAACTTATACGTACACAGAACTGCAGGAAAGTGAGCTGTTGTTTCTGAGAGCCACATCAGTTAGCCGCAGCTAAATCTGGAGTGCACTCCTATTCGAGTATTTACGGTAAATGCTCCCACACGGAGCTGCCCGTTGCTCTGCTGATTTCAGCTGCTGTTTCAACAAAAACGCCATTCAGGGTGAAAATTCAATCGTGGTGTTGTGTCGGGAGATGCAGTGACTTCACCAGCGGTGAGTATTATGAATAATACATGTAATCTGTTAAGCTATGAGGAGAGTAAAAGTCCGTTAGCCGCTAGGCTAATTTATGTAGTGCTAACATCATATAGGTTAAAGCTCTTAAGCTAGTGGTGGTGACTAACAAATAAACTTAACAGTTACCATTAAGAAGAATTTTATGCTTCTGTTAAATGTGATTGCTATTACGCCGTGTTTTATGTGTGGTGGTGAAGTCAATTTAAAGTTAACTTTACTGCACTTAACCAGTCGAAATGATTTAATGAAGGCTAACGTTAGTTACTGTACTTCTGTCTCACACAGAAAACACAGGAGGAGGCATGCAGAGAACAAAACCATATTCTTCAGAGGAAAAGAAGAAGGAGGAGAAGGAGAGCAACAAATAACCCCCAAACAATAAAATAAATTCCTTTTATATTTTCCCTGCCTTGTTGTTTATGTGTACATACAGAGGGAGAATGTGAGAACAGCACACATTTCATCGTTACTGTGTGTTAGAGCATGGGAGAACAGTGGATACTTTTAATACAGCCCACACCCCTAATACTGTGTAACTATAACAAGTAGAGAACAGAAGAAAAAGATGTTCTTTCTTTACAACTGTCTGCATAGCTTATTCATATTGTGTAATGAATGAAAATAAATAGGCCTACTAGGCTCCTCTCTACTTTGACATTTAAGATTAGCTTGTTTGATCCACCTTCATACACATGTGACATTACTGTACAACTTGAGAAAGGTGAGTTGTTTTCTGCTCCAGCCTGCCTAAAAGAAAAGCGTTTTGGGGATTAAATGGACTTTATGAGCTGCTGCAGTGCAGGATGAACTCAGAATAGACCCATTTCTCACCTTATTATTCTAGATCATGCAACGAAGAAGAAGAAATGCATAAGAAATCCTGGGACAAAATCTGTCCACAAATACTGTACAGCATGTAGTCTGATGAACAAGACTTGTGTTACAGCTGACTTGGGCAGTGAAATGTTTAATTTTTTTAATTCATGTGGTCATAGTTGTCCACAACTCAAATCAGAATATAAGAAGAAATGTTTTATACCACCTCAAGAAGGCTTCCTATCAGAAAGGTAGGAAGGTATTTCAAATGTACAACTGCAGTACTTAAATCTAAGTAAAGTAATTTCCCTGACATTTTTGTGTTACTTTACTTTTAATAGATGCATGTAACAGGTTTTATACTTCCTGTGAGTATAATCCAATCAATCTTATTTTCATACTGTATATCCGTTGTGTAATTTGATAAATTGTGTTGTATGTGGTGCTCGCATCGGGTACTACTGAGACTTCATTGCCCTCTTCAGAGAAGACTCTGACTGCAACATGCGTCTTTGTAAAGAGAGAAACGGACAGAAAAAGTCTCTAACTCTGCCTGTCAGCTCGCTCTGCTCCGTTAAAACTGAATTTTCCATACAGAATTTAATACGAGTGCACTCCAGATTTAGCTGCAGCCAGCTGACCGTGTGTCTATGAAGATTCTCAGTCATCCAGGTCATAGTTATCCAACGAAGGTTAAAAATCAAGGGCAACTGGACTTGGTTGAAGATACTGGAAGACGTTTCGTCCCTCATCCAAAGGACTTCTTCAGTTCTGACTGACTGGCAGGGAAACTCAGCTATTTAACCTCAGTGGGGTCGTTGGCCCGGGTCATCGATACCGCTGGTTCGTTAGTGTTCCGTGTTCGTTAAGACTACCTGTGGCCAAGACTGAACGACCATCGTTGGTCTGTGGATTCCTCACTGCATTGGACCGCATACACTAGACCGCATACACTAGATTGCAGTGAGGAATGCACAGACCTGTATATTGGGGAGACTAAACAACCACTACACAAACGCATGGCTCAACACAGAAGGGCCAACTCCTCAGGTCAAGACTCTGCTGTCTACTTACATCTGAAGGACAGGACACTCGTTTGAGGACCACCAGGTGCACATTTTAGACAGTGAAGATGGATGGTTTGAAAGAGGTGTCAAGGAAGCCATCTACACCCGGGTGGAGAAGCCGTCATTGAACAGGGGAGGGGGTCTACGCCACCACTTATCCCCCACTTACAATGCTGTCCTTTCATCACTTCCCAGGAAACTGAACAAAGGTAACCTATTGGCCTCAGGTGAAGATACCAACGATGGTCGTTCAGTCTTGGCCACAGGTAGTCCTAACGACTGTAACGACTGTCGTCACAGCAACAAGGAACACTAACGAACCAGCGGTATCGATGACCCGGGCCAACGACCCCACTGAGGTTAAATAGCTGAGTTTCCCTGCCAGTCAGTCAGAACTGAAGAAGTCCTTTGGATGAGGGACGAAACGTCTTCCAGTATCTTCAACCAAGTCCAGTTGCCCTTGATTTTAACCTTCGTTGGATAACTGATCGTGTGCTTCTCCCTATACCGCAGTTCTCTGTCCATGCATGCAGCAAACTGAAAGCACTGTCTGTCGGAGCGTCTACGTGAAAAGAGAAGGAAGACATGGCTGGTCGTATTGTCTTCAGAGTTGTTAAACACCTCAGCGCACTGAAGGAAGCCATCTGACTGTGTGAAGCGCAGCTCCTTGATGTGTGCAAGCAGAGAAGGCCTAGAGCTCTCCTGTCTGACTGGTCCACCAATAGCAGAGAAGATGACCCCTTGAGACACAGCCCCTCCTCATTTGCATAATGAAGCAGAAATGCATACAGAAATTTAAAAAGGACAGGCAGAAATAAATACCATGGGTGAAAATAAATAAGGTAAAAAAATACAAAGGAAGAATAAAACAGACAAAAATATTAAAACACACACATAAATAAATATATTTAAAAAATTAGTAATTAATAAATAAAGTTGAAGATTATAACGGAGAATAAATAAATAATGTAATTATAACAGTTGAATAAGTAAAGGCAGTAATTAAAATATATACATTTATGTCTCCTTGTATAATTTAATTACTACCTACATTTATTTATTTACTTTATTTTTTGTGTATTTAATTGGATGCTTATTTATTTATTGAGCATTTATTTATTTCTGTATTTATTTCTGCCTGTGTCAGGATCGGTCCTCCATAATTTCTCACTGGAATGCCAATAAGCATTATATCAAGAAACACTGACTCATCCCTTGTACTACTGTACACTTTGATCATCTGACTGGTACTCATTTTCTCACTGCGCTCAACTTACTTTTCTAAATAATAGGTGTGGTCTTCTATTCCTCCAAATTTCACGCCTCTTCTTACTTCTAACAAACCAGACGACTACTACTACTACTACATCTACTAGTTCTTCTACTTCTTCATGCGCAACAAAAACGCTTATTGAAGCATCTGCTGAAGCAGCATAGCAACGTGAAACTCAAAAAGGAACTCCTACCACTACTCCCAGTGAGGCTTCGACTCAGGGGAGAGTGGCGTTAAGCAACGTTTGACGCCTGTCACACTCTGCCTGTCAGCCATACCTTGTTTTGCACTTTTGAGTTTAGTTTATTATCTGTCTTATAGTATGTTGAGTTTTGGGTTCTGTCCTGTCTAGTGCCCGGTGTCCAGTATCTGTTATATAGTCCGTGTTTTGAGTTTCAGTCATGCCTGGTGTCTAGTTTACTCTGTGTGTTTGTATTGGTTGGTCTGGTGCTGTCTGTGTGTCTGGTTTTATGGTTATGATCTGTTTAGTTATGATTTTGCTCATTCGGCTCTAGTCTGTGTAACCTTTATTATTATTCAGCCACATCTTTAAGTTACTTAGTATCTGTCTTGTCTCGTATCTTAGTTCTTAGTTTGTCCCCCCCCCCACTGTCTCTCTGCCTGCCTGCTTATCTGTCTTCCTCATTGTGTCTCTCTGTTTCCCTGCTCATGTCGGATTTTGGACTTTCACCTGTTTGGATTTCTGTTTGGATAACCTGTTTTTGGACTCTGTTGATCAGCCACTCTGCTTGTAAGTGTGCTCACCTTTAGTTTGTATTAAACCACATTGAACTGTACCTCCTCTGCCTTGCGTCCTGCGTTTGGGTCCTCCAACCTTGCCAACCTGCCTCTCCACACCACTTACCGTAACAACGCCACTCTGGTTTGTAACAATACTGAATACTGCTCTTAATAAATATGTGGGCAGAAAAACAATAGGCCTAGTTCAACACTAGAGATTTACTTGGTTTATTTTTTATTTCAGCCAGGGGCATTAAGGTACCATAGGTTTTGTGTAAAAAAAAATAAAAAATAACTCCTTGCTGCTGCTATTAGTTAAAGTTGGGAGTCGAGACTGCTTTGTTGGGGGGGGGGGGGGGTAGTGAAAGTAATATGGTAACGTAATGAGTACGTAACTACTTTTATCACCCAGTAATAAGTAAAGTAATATTACTTTTTTAAAGGAGTAATAAGTAACTAGTAACATATTACTCAAATTAAGCAAACTAATTGGCTCATAGTACTGAGATATAGAACGCAGAGCCCTTTAAAGAGTCGCAATGGATAATGTTAGCAGCACACAATATAAACAGGGGCAGCTTATTCATTTATTTTAAAATATGTATTTTTGGGGGGTGGTATTTAATTTTATTTAAATATATTAGTGCATGTATGAATAAAATATTTCAAAACATTATTTATTGGGGGGGGGGATATCTAGAATGTTAGAAAAACAATCTTCATTAATTATGTTAGAGCAGTAGACTCTGTGTGGTGGAGGAGCAGTGATGCTAAGTTGTACTGAGTGGACCATGGTGAGATAGAAAACAACTTTTTGATTGTGAATGCCTATTATGTACAATTTATTAGAAATCATACTTAAAATGTTTTATCATTTTCTTTCCCTTCTCTCGGTGTCTGCATCCTGTCCTATCTTATGAGCTTATTTTCCACAAAACAGTTCAGGTTTATTTACCCACATTAATACATCATAGTGGCTGAATGCATCATATTGGTGAACACTCAATTCTTACTGGATATGTTTACTCTAATTACATAATTACTTTGTACAAATGTGAGAACTGTTTGAAAAAATAAAAACATTCACTAACTAACAAACTATCTAGTAACTGATGTCAACATCAGCAGCAAAAGCTGTTAATGAAGTTCCAAAATTTAACAATCCATAACTTTCTCAATCAAACCTGTAGCCTTTTACAAGAAAAGTTTAATTGAGAGCAACTGGACTTCTTCTGAAACGTCCAGATGCTCCAGATTCAACTTTTCTTGGATAAACATGACTTGGATGAATCTTTCCAGATGTGTAGGTTTGTCTAACCCTCTCTCTCTCTCAGCACAAGAATCACAGGGGGTTCAGTGGAGCCTAAAGATGATCTGCAGTGATGTTTTTAATAAACCAAACATAAAACCAGTGATGTTTTCTTTCTTTGTGGAAAAAGTACCTCACATGTTTTTTGTTGTTAGCCTCTTTAGTGATTGTAAGGTTGCTCCTGTTGACCTGAATCAACCATCTTTTCCTCCTCTCCATGTCAGCTGGGAAACCAAACATTCGTACTCCTTTTTCTGACCGACTGCAGCAGCATCTCCACACAGCACAATAAACCGTGCTGTAGAGTGTTGTAAGACAGTTCACAGACACAAACCACTTCACATGCTGTTTTCTGAGTTTATTGGAGATTTATTAAATTAATACATGACAATCATTGATAGTCACCTGTCTGTTCTATCTGAAGTCATAAAGATTACATTAGTCATTAAGATCAATTAACACTGGTACCATGGGATTACTAAAAGGAATGTTAGAAAGGTAAATCTGATCTGAATTTTAAACGTGTTTTCAAAAGGAACACATTTTCCAATGTAAGCTTGGCCAAAAAATGTCCACAAGGTAGGTGATTGTAGCTGTTATTGTCAAAAATATATGTCCTCCTTTTAAAAAAATGGTAATGTAACTACATAGGCTACACGTGTCACTGTGCTGTGCAAATATTGTAAATCAACGCATTTATTGTATAAATTACCAGAAATCGGTTAAAATCGCCGTTTTGTCGTTTCTCTGGCTCATTTTGAATTGTCCGCCTAGAACTTCCATTTCGGACCCCGCTGACGCGCCTCTCTCTTTAAAGGGCTCTGAATACAACGCGTGTACAACGGGTATGACGTCGAATTCCTTTGCACAGATCCGTGTCACTCCGCGAAAAACAGGGATCGAGTTAGCTAGAGAGTTAGTGAACTTCGTGGGGGGCTCAAGCCCCATTTGCACCTGCGGCAAGTTCAATCTCAAAACGGTTTGCAACGTTTTCAGATTGAACGGCATGTTTCCTTGAAACGTTGCGCAACGGGCTTCAAGGTATGTTTGCTCCCATTTGGTGGGCGTGTCTCAGGTGTTACCCAATCAACTGCAACAAGTTTGTAAACACAACGGCGTTAAAAAGGCAGCAAAATGCAGTGCGCTTGCGTACACAGCAGGGTGTTCAGGGCAGGGGACGGCCGTTTCCGTTTGAAAAAACGTTTTGCTACGTTTTGTCTGCGCTGAACTCGCCCCTGGTGTTAAAATGCGATCTGATACAGATCTAATCTACAAATCGCATTTTACCGGCGGAGATAAATAAATAAATAAATAATGACAGAGAGAGAGAGAAATCATAGCTTATTACGTGATTCAACCGATTCAACATTTCCCTCTCTCACACACAGGAAAACGCACAAACACACACACAGCAGTCCACTACTTGCCCAGATGTCTATTGCAACAAAGTTTAAGTTTCACTAGGCTGTTCAAAGACTGTTGCTCAAGGAGAGACGCAATCCCGCCCTTTCTGGTAGGTATAATATTAAAATGTTATTATTTTAGGCACTGCTGGCAGTATCAAGCATTTATCATATAAATTAAAAGTTATAAATATAACTATAAAATATTATATATAAAATTAAAGTAACCAAAGTCAGTCTCCTGACGCTGGACAGTTTTGTAGTAGCTGCACAACAAACAGCAACGTGCAAACAGATCTAAATAAATAGTTCCAGTAATTCTAGCCTTTGATGTATGTTGCTTAGCAACCGTCATGCGCTATGGAGCCTCCCGACAGCCTGGTGGAACTACTTTTTGTATTCATAAAGAAATGTCTGTTGATAAAATATAAAGTCTGTTAGCCTACTTTCTTTTTGCCATACTTGGTAACCGTTTTATAAAAGCTGAATGTAACATCAGCTCCATATATACCAATATTTATGGAGCTGATGTTACATTCAGCCAGTTCCGGCCCCCGTTTGAATCAGCTGACACGGTGACTGACAGGAACCGTGCAGCAGGAGTCGTCAGACAGGGGCGGGGCGGGACCGTAGGGCTGGACCAGAGCTGGACCAGGGCTGGACCAGGGCTGGATCATAGACTGGATGGGCTGAACTCGATCGTAGAGCCACAAAGTTGCACAACACCGAGCTGTAGACTGGAATCCCTCGATAAAGTCGTATAAAAAGGGAAGGTATCTGTTCCTGATCGTAAAGCAGACGGATAGTCACCATGGCAGGTAAAAAGACGCGGTGTTAATACATTACTGCACAGCTTTGTGCTATGCATAGTTTGCATTCTTAACAGTGACTGAACGGCGCATAAAGATTCACATTGTTTGTCCAAAGTGATGAAATCCAGATGTTGGGTTCTGCTTGACTAACTGACTTCCGCTACATGCAGCAGTAAAACACGCACTTCTCTTTTCCATTGCACTGATTCTGTAAAATGTCGATATATAATCAGTAGTGGACAGTAATGAAGTACAATTACTCAAGTACTTTTTACTTAATTACTGACAGCTTAAGTTACTAGTTAGCCTACTTTATAAATTTATATTTTTTCACACAAAACATATGAAGACTTAATAAAATATGTGTGGTATTAGTACTTTTACTTAAGTAAAAGATCTGAATACATGTACCACCACTGACACACACACACACACACACACACACACACACACACACACATAACTGACTTGAATTATTATTAAAAAGGCAACCTGTTTAAAATGAATGCCACTGTTAAACAAACAGGAAAGTTTGCCTGCTGTATTTTAAAATTCTGTTAAACATAACCATTCTAATGGTACTTTTTGATACTTAAGTATTTTTAAGAGCAAGTTCTTTTGCACTTTGACACAAGTCAAAATTTAAATTGAAGACTGCTACTTTTTAGTGGCGTAATATTTAGCAAGGCTATCTGTACTTTTACTCAAGTACAGGATTTGTGAACTTCATCCAACACTGTTACTGAAATTAAGAGTAGATAGCCTATTGGCTGTTTCAGATGAAGCAGCAGATGTGGAGGAAGGCATCAGCCTCACTCAGAGCCCTCTGGTCACTGTCACCTTCCAGAGAAATGTCCACAGGAAAGAGAAGTACCTGGAGGCTGAACCCAAAGCTCTTGGGGTACAGTATGTGTCTGTGTGTGTGTGTTTAGAACTACAGTATACTTACCAGGAGGTTTTCCATCTTAATGGAAAGTATTCTCTCCTCTGTCCCAGATCACTCAGATTGGCCTGAGTGTGTTTCAGATCACCTGTGTGAGTGTGTTTCTGGCCAAAGACCTGAGTCGTGTAGAGACTGACATTGCTTTCTACATTGCATCCCTTCTGGTAAGCACATGCATAAAGCAAATGTTATACAATCGATCACCAGTAGTGTTAAGTGATTTGAAAATGTATACTGATATCAGACAATATAATGGTGTCAACTGATTACAGCCAGGAAGTTCTCTCTTTAATTAATAAAGCTCAGGTTATGTTAGGTCATTGCAGCAATGTTGCAAAGTGATATGCACATGATTTTTCCAGCATGTGAAATGCATGCAAAGCACTGTTTTCTAGTATGGGTCCATCTCCAAGAAAAAATAACACTGCATCCGAAAATTCCCATAATGCAACCAGTGGCACCTTTTCTTCTGAATGGTAAAACTAGGGGTTTGATGAAACACGATATTGGCTTCACAAGATAGGATTTTAGCATTATTTTTAAGAAATCATTACTGCTGAATTACATGAAGATTTTGAGCATAAAACATTTAATTTTCTTCATTCAGGTGAATTCAGGTGAATGAAGAAAATTGGTGAATACTGGTGAATTTTCTGCATCAGTGTATGGTTAAAATGTTTATTTATTTAAAGAAAAACTAACAATTCAGGTGGCAGGGGACAATTCAAAATCTAAAACTATAACAGTATATAATGCAGTGCAGCTTTCAGGAATTCTGTGTAGCTTTCAGATATCTTTCTCCTCTAGATCAATTTTTCCCATGTAACATTATCCCTGCTGAGTCAACACACATGCAGGCGTGATTTAGTCAGCAGTGGGAAGGTTACTATGGAAATGTAAAAGGTTGCCGATTACAAGTTACCCTATTTCAAATGTAACTAGCAGTGTAACTATTTTAATTACTTTATCAAAGTAATATAACATTACACTTTATGATTCCTTTTCTCCAAATTCAAACTTTTCTCCAAATTCAAACATTAGAACCAAACAAAGGATCAGAATTGCATCAAACTTTACTGAATGTCTGAATGAAGACATTATGCACATGAAAAACTTGCAACAAAATCAATGTTATTCAACACATAGATTTTTACAGAAAATATTCAGATGGAACCCCCAATGTAACCATGAATATTTCCGCAAGTAACTGTAAGTTAATTACACATTTTTAAAAAAACTCCTGGACGTTAATAGTTCCAGTGTTTCAGCAGGTTTTTTGCTCATGTTCAAAACTTTCTGCACATTCAGAATCTCTCCCACAGATCTGTGTTCTCTGACATGTCCAGAAATAAGTTGTAATATTACGAGACCAACGTCATCATTTAATAAGAATTCATAATCATTTTTAAAAGTCTGCCTGCCCTGTACTCTGCTGTGCGTTACGTTATTACTCTGGTAGTTTCCCTCTCAGACAGTTTTGAAAACGAAACTAACTGAAAACACGTCATCAGGCAGAAATCTCACCACAAATCCACTTGTTAACTTCAGCAGCTCCGATAAAGTGCAGCTCACAGTCTTAAACAGAGCAAGGTTGTGTCTCAGTTTTTACATGATTATATTGCTAAAGTCTACAAGCTACGTTACCACTCAGTCCCAAACTGGCTGCGACTCACTTTTTTAATACAGCCTATGCTCACAGCGCGTGACTTCATTACTATCACGGCATGTTGCATCAGCTGGGCAAAGTTGATTTGCTCCGCAAGTCGATGTTATCAGTTATACATTTGTTTTTCACTGCCTGAGAAAACTGATGTGTTGGCTGAGAGCATGTGAAAAATGTCAATTGTGTGAGTCTTGCGAGACAGCTTTTAACCTGATCGTCACATTTTAATCTTTGGAATGAGGTCTCGTTACACCCCTAGTAAAAACCCATCTTTCAAACTCCACACTTCCAGTCCGTAGCGCAGGCTTTCAGTTTTAAAGTTGTCATCTCCGAGCTGAAGCTCAGATAACCCTGATGAGACTGCTCCATAGGTTCCAGGTAGCACAGAACAAAGTGGATCTCATAGAACTTCACTGCTCATGTAGATCAAGAGGAGCCACAATAAATACAGGAAGCATGCTTCTCTTCATGCCTCTCTTTTAAAAGAAATATCATTATAACGCCAACTCCAAAGGTACTTTATAGAAAGCTGTTGTTGACTGACATCATTATTTTACTGGACAGACTTCTGAGGGTCATATTTATTGTCTGCATTTAGATAAGTAGAGATAAGTAGAGAGAACACTAGTCTATTTTGGAGCGGTGGTGGCATGCAATTCATTACCAGAAAGGTATACAGCAAGATTTTTAATTGTTGAAGCTGGGGTAGGCAACGTAGGAGGACTAGCAAGAGACAGCTAGATTTCTGGATCCAACACCGGATCCAAACCCTACACGATAAAATCTTTTTTCAACAAATATGCATGAGTCCTTTTTCAGTCCCTTTTTCTCAACAAAATAAATATCTTCTTAGAGAAATTAAGTGCTGATTTGTTTGTGATTTAAATGAATTAAATCAAACATTTATTGAACATTTGTTATTGTGTTTTTGAGGAAAATATCGCGATAATTGTCCAGACCTATTTTATCATGGTGAGTAAAACTAATCATGTAGGCCTATACTAATAATCCATAAACACTTAATCAAGTATCCAGAACATTTATAGATACCTAGGTAGCAGATTTTATCCATATCACATCAACAACTACTTCTGTGTGACATCCCAGTCTTCATCCTGATGTTGAGCTTGATGACTGTGTGACTTGTGCTCTCTCCACAGGTGATAATCGCTGGGTGTCTAGCTATAGCAGCACAGAACCTCCACCTGCCGACGGTGAGTTACCTGGCTACAGAGGAGATGCCAAAATGATCACCAGTAGTGTATAAGCAATATATAACAACAACTGCTGAAAACAGATCCAGGCCTACTGCCTTCAGAACTGCAAACAGAAAGTAGCAGAACACATCAAAATGAGAAATTAAAGCTATGTTGCCACAAACAAAGAACTGCTCTCTGTCTCTGCCACTTCCTCTGTACGATGAGTCAGATGACTCAGAGGGTAAGGTTGTTACACAAGTCCACTGACCCCATCAACGGACAGGTTCAGCAAATACAAGCAGACATGGCTGACAGGCACAGACAGGATTATTTAGTAAAGGAACAGAGAAGAGAAGCTAAATACACGGGTGACGAGATGTGTGTGTGGTATATATGTGCCCTGGGTCCCTAACATGTTAATCAGTGACAATTCTACATACTTGTGAAATGACTTCGTACAACTAGTAAATTGAACATGATTGATGATAAATTTTTTATTTGAATATTACAATTATTATTTTCCTTTTCTTTCTTGGTGCTTTATTCTTTGTATTATCTTAGGGTTTCCATTGGATGAGTACTATTTGCTACTAGCATCTTACTAGCTGGGTTATGTGAAGTTGAGGGTGTGGGGGGATATGAATCTTAACATATCGCTGTAAAAAAAACAAAAAACAAAGAAAAACTCAATAAATGTGATGTCTAAAAAAACCCCTTGTCGAACCAAACAAGTCAAGTGTCATTTTAAAGAAAACCGATTTTTTAAAGGTTGTATCTCCTGTTTTTTCTGTCTGTCAGCTGAGGGCCTGTTTGGGGATGGAGATTGTGGCCTGTGGAGCCTCCATCTTCAACACAATCTTAACTCTGATTAAAATGGAAGACATGCCCTTCTACTGCTGGCATTATTACTATGACAACACCACAATTCATTATGGCGAAACCTGCCATAAAGTTGAGGTGAGGTATAACTGCTCTTTATGAGAACAATATGTTTTAGAGTTAAATAAGGTAAACATAGAAATTGTATTGTTGTTTAACGACGGGTTATAACACATACTGGACACTCAAAGTTACGTTTAAAATCTGGCACATAAAGAGGAAGCATCAGTGATTTACTGCTATCATTTTTGCAATATTGTACATGACATTAGGTTCTGATGATACTATTTCACAGCTCCCATTTTAAATGATTTACTGACAGAAATGGTGACCAAAACTACAAGAATAAGATCCAAACTGTAAAGAATCAGAATTATCCCTTCATTTTGTGGTTTTCCTTTCAAATTTGTTCGAGTACGAGATGTAAACGGTTGGAGTATGAGTTGAAGAGTACACGATAAAAGCAACTGAAGTGTGGTTTGAAAAGTAAAAGATGAAAGCACTTGAAGTGAACAGAAACAGTGGAAGCCGCTTAAGAATTTCACTTAAAGTCTGATGATAAAACGGAACACACTTTTTATTCTTTTTTTCATTTCATCTCTATTTATTCAGTCCAAACATAATTTCTGCAAATCTAATCCCACTTACAGAACGTCCAGTCCCACTTTTATGCTGAGTGTGTGGTCGTTCAGATTGCTCTGTTGGCCATCTCTGCCACTCTGGCAGCCTACTGCTGCAAGGTGGCAAACTGCTGCGGCCCGGCTCACAAAATGGTGAGTGAACGCGGATGACAGCTGTAGCAATAAAGCTGCAAACACAAACCAGCAACATAGTCTGGATCCATCATGGAGGATGTACTACCAATGCTTAATCGATGGCTTATCTGTGTTTTTCCCTTGTTTTCTGTCCCTTTCAGCCTGTGATCACGGTGCAAGCCCCCCCTGTCAGTCAACAGTGAGAAGATGAAGTGGATGAGCTCAGAAGACTGCTACATACAAATGCTACACAAAGATAAAACTACACTAATCAATGTTTTTATATTAACAAAGGATCAAACAACTGTGTAATGTGAAAGGAGTCACTTGTAGTGACAAATCCACAAAGAGGTAATGACTCTGCAGTTCCCTTCATTTCTATGGCACTTTTTAGCTCATTGTTTTGGTTCTCCAGCCCACAGACTCTGTTATTGAAAGCAGAGTGAGCCGACATTAATCGCACAGACACAAACACAACTGAATGCTAATGTTGCTCTGTGTAATGTGTGAAGATGCAAATATTTGCTAACACATTTTTCATTTAAACTCTATAAAATGATCATAAGTCAATTTTGTGTTTACAGCTTGTTCTGCTGCCCCCAATCAATGCATGCAGGTTTAAGAAAGAACTTCAGTATTTTTTGTAAAATATAATGTCCTCACACTTTGCATATTACCAGAACTTTTTAATATTAGATATCTGTTTCTATAAGTACTCCTTCTCTAATGTTAACTTTAATCATATTCTGTTTTTCAGTAAAATACTACAGCAGGCACATGGAATGCCTGAAATATGTACAGAAAGTGTCTCTATAGTCTTTAACTTGCTGAATTGTGGTCACACAATATGGTAATGGTAAATGTGAAAAATGCAGTGTTTTAATAACATAGGTAGTTACACAGAAATATCTATCGGAAATTTGCTAACAACAGCCACAGGTCATACCCATAGACTGTGTAAAGGTCATACCAGACTGAGTAAGGCTGCAGCAGCAAAAACCTGAAGCCACTGAAGTGATTTGTTTTATTGCTTATAAATTCAACTTTTCCTGGGAACATTGCACAGGGTAAGTTAGTTCAACTTAGTTTAATGCTTACAACATAACAACAAGTGATTTAACTAGTAAAATCACAAATTGATGCACATTAATGCTTTCTTTGTTTAGTGTCTTAATAATGCTTTACTGTTCTTTCCTTTGTCGCTGCAACTGACAGCTATGGATAATAAAAAGCTAACAAATGTATGTGAGTTTCGCAGTTAATATTTGTCTTTGTGAAATAGCAGTTTTTAGAGTATGTGGTGCCAGCATGCTTGACTGTAAAACAATACTGTCACACACACACACCTTACAGGGATACGTCCCAGTTTTTATTCAGTCCACTGGCATTATTTCTGTGTGTAATGTTACTGAGTCTCAGAGGCAGGCTGGACAAGTCCACAATTTTTCAGGTCTGTTGATACACTGAGGACACCAAGGTCATGCCCTCTGTACTGCCTATGGGAACACTGGGGGTTTTAACCATCTGAGGAGAAGTTTACCATTTGTACTTACACATTTTGGGATTTGAAGCCTATGTAATATTTTTAAGACTTTTAAGGCAAAATGAATACATTGAATAGAAAATATTAAAGAGACTTAGGTACCGTGGCAGTGTAGGGACAGCATTTCGTCCATCAGTATATCATCATCAGTACATACTTTATGTAGACAGAATTTACTGAAAATAGAATTTCAGTTACATTGATAAATAAAATGGAAAATATTTTATTTTAATATTTTAAATTCAGAAGCCTTTTTTGGTGGCCAGCTAAAGTAGGTGGGATCACACTTGGGGACCTTGGACTCATGTCCTCAGTCATTTCAAAAATTCTGGCTACAGCTCTGAAATGTACATTTCAAACTAAGATGATCTTTCCTCACCATGTCTCAACTTGGTCACACCTCCAGGAGCTGAAGTTGGCAGTCTTAATGTGATGAGCATGCAAAGTCGCAACTTTCTCCCACCTCACAGGAAAATTGGCAATTATGAGGAAGCTGCAGCGTGTATTCATGGAGTGTATGCTGCCTAGACACTTCACTCATCAACAGAAAAAAATACTCCAAAATGAGATTTCTATAGCCCTGCGATGGACTGGCAACCTGTCCAGGTGTACCCCGCCTTTCACCCGATGTCAGCTGGGATTGGCTCCAGCCCCCCACGACCCTGTACAGTTGACGATGGATGTTTGGAGATCTCTACAAACGTCTTAGCCTATAGCAGCATAACTAAGGGATGGTTCAGGACTCACCTGAGCCAGCCCTAACTATAAGCTTTATCATCTCTATTATCTTATTTATCATCTTTATTATCTCTTTTCCTGGTTCCTGTCAGAACACGAGCTGCAGCATTCTGGATCAGCTGAAGAGTCTTAATGGACTTTTTCGAGCAGCCTGATAATAAGGAATTGCAGTAATCCAGCCTAGAAGTAACAAATGCATGGACTAGTTTTTCTGCATCATTTTGAGAGGATGTTCCTGATTTTTGCAATATTACGTAGGTGGAAAAAGGCAAAGATAACTGAAATTCCTCACGGAGGTGCTGGAGGGCAGGGCAAGTTCAGTGGAGATCACCTGTGTGTAATCAGCTTGTGACAAGTCATTCTAGGTTAAAGCTGTAGCTTAAAGGTCTAAAAGCTAGTTAGTCAGTGTCCTTGAAAAAAAATAACTTTCTGTAAGAAGAGTTCCAAAACATCTGCAACACGTTTACAGAAAAGTACCAATCAGAGGAAGGATACATTAATATTATAGGCAAAATGGGGACAATCTTTATTTAAGGCACATTTACTGGTATCTTTAATCCTAATTTTTGGATTGTTCAGTTCATAAAATGCAAAAATCATCATCCAGCTACCAAATTCCTATCATACACTTGCTTTTTTGTTTTTCTTTCATTTTGTTATGAAACATGATTTGGCCCTGCTCTCATCACGACTCTTTTAAGCAGACAACTTCATCTCAGGAAAAAGAACACAGGTGGAACAAACAACATTTGTTGGATCTACTCCTTGTTTTGTAATTTAACTGAATAATTAAATATTAATTTCTTTTGTTGCTGTTTTGCCTTAAATAATTACCTTAATACAATGTTAATATTTTCATTTTTGTTCATTTGAGTACTTATTTGGTTTTGAAGGTACTGGCCAGCTTGGGCAGGTGAATCTACATATAGGGCTAGTCACATTTAGCACAGGTAGGCACCAGGATGGTTTTTAAAAGGGCAAGAGAGGCTGCAGACGCCATTTGTTTGTTTGCATGCTTCACTTGAAATAAACTGCATAAACGCTATGCTTGCCTGGACATTAGACTTTTTTTCCCTGCGTAAGATTCATTCCTCAGGTGCCTCAGTGGCCGTTTGATTTAGAGTTTGTTTTAATTTTGTTCTTTTTGTCTGATTTAAATTGAGGACAAATTGCCACTACAACATTAATTATCAATGTACTTTGGAATTCAATTTGGGTAAATTCAACACATTTCACATAAGAGTAACACATGACAGTGAGTCAACCTGCCTTATACCAGGACACTGGAACTTGACTGCAGCCTTTATTAATATCATCAGCTACACCTGTGCTTGTTCCTGCCTACGACGTGTATTTACTAGATTTATATATAACGTAACAGAACTAAAATCAGACCAGTATCTGTTCAGTTTGACAGCTTGTTTCAGCTGTCACTGCTGTATTACTGGGACAGAAAACGATGCTTCGTGTATAGTACAAAACAATCACGTTTTATTTGACACAAAATGCATTAAAAACGTTGTTTCTCCCCACAAATATTGCATTAAACACATACTTAAGCAGACATTGTTAAAAAGATACTTCATGATTGAATAATGAAAATGAAACACAGCCAGTGGCAGGATCCTGGAGAGACATTCCTGCCCGACCACTTTTATGAAGTTACTGTACGTTCCTGTTCAGTTTGAAAGGGCATTTCACATAATCTACATCATTCTCTGTGCCAGTGTAATGTGGCACCAAAGTTTATTAGGAAGGGAATAAAAGTTCATATTTGCAGGCTCCACTCTGTCATATCTGCAGTTCATCTGTCCAGTGGCTCTGTGGGAGATCACAAGACAAAAACTACATTAACTTGTAATACAAAATAAATATTTTTACTAGTCTTTAGTACAGAAGGTAAATGTGGATGTAACTGCCTTTAGTTTGAATTGATTAACAATGTCTTTAATTCACAACATGTGTAAACTTGCAATGGTTTTGGACACGGAGAGGTATTATTTAGTGAGACATTCTAAAATCCAATTTACTGATCATTAAATATCTGTAGTATTTCCTCTCTAACCTAATTGTCCAGTAGCTTACTTGGGAAGCAGATGGTGTGATCTCCTCCAGGTCTCCAAAGCAGCCATGTTTATGGCGAATGAGGCTCCCCCACAGCACAGAGCGACGGCAGGACGGACATTCACCCTCCACTGGCAGCAGGTGGGACGGCTCTGACTTTAGGAAATGTTTGGAGAGGCAGATCACGTGACCTCTCATTGCACAGGACGGGTGGAAACAGCTCAGCTTTTCTGACACCTGGGAGAATCAGAATCAGCTTTATTTGCCAGGTATGTGAACACATACGAGGAATTTAACTCAGGATTGTACATTGTTCACGATGTGCTTACTTATACAATCATACAATAATAAAATCCTAGCTCTGTAAGGAGAGGACAAAGATGTATGGACTGTCAGTTCACTATCACGTTTGTAGTGATAAGTGTTTGTTTGTACTGAAATCCATTAAACCTTATATCCCATCATGTGCTCTCCGCTCTCAGAATACAGGGTTCCAGTCTGTCCCCAGAGTTAAAAAGAAGACAGGGGGTCACACTCTACACGAGCTGACAGCGGCTGTGTCACCCGACGCTGGTCTCTAAACCACGTTTTGTCAAGAAAACACAATGTGAAACAGAAAATGACGGGACCTACACACGAAACAGCTGTTATTTGTTATTATAAAGATGGCAATTATAAAAAAAAGAATGCACAGGCAGGTTGCAGGCATCGTCTGAGCTACAGAGAGCTGGAGGGGATTGAAAAGTGTTTTGCAGTGAAAAAGTAGCTGCCTGCTACTCCTGATCACAGCCTGACGGTCAGCGAGCTCGCCGACCAGTAACTCGGGCTTAAAATCGTGTAGTGTGAACTCGACTTAAGCTTTATCTTCCAATTAATACTTATCCTTCCATACTGAAGACCTGTTACCACTTTATTTCTGGCAGTTCGCTCTCAGACTGTAAAGCCCCTTGTGATTTGTGATATTGGCCTAGTGACTTGAAATAAAATTATTTTTCTGTTTACAATTTTTCTGTATGGATATTAACATAGTTTGCTATTATACTAACTTAATGTTAGTATAATAGCAAACTAGCATGTCAAATGTTACAAATTAAGTGTTAGCAAACTTCAGCATGCAAACATGACAGCCTCCAACAGTTGTTAACATTGTTAACTAGTTAAAGTGCTTTGAATTGTGCTTTAAGCCAAAGTCACTTATTCATTTAAGTACCACAAAGTCTTTCCTCTGGGGCAAGCCTCAGGCTAAAACTTAATTTTTTTCATCTATCAAGTGACGCAACACATTTTTTTTGTTGTCCAGTGAGCATTACAACCTCTTTCACTGCAAGCGAGGCTACTGACTTTTAGGATAACAGCTCTGCATCATGGCAAGAATGCTTACTTGGTTTCTTTCTTCTGAAAGTAAAATGAGAAGATGGACTTTTTAATGTGGTCCATGTGGTTATCATCTCAATGCTGCTATTTACATTCAACCTAAAGACAGACCTAGACACAAATTCAATGTTCTGGGTGTATAAGTGTATGAATATAAATAATTGTAGTTGTTTTTTTTACCATATACATTTAATTATATGTTAAGTTCTATGTGTGTAACATAAAGAGACTTTCATTTGGTAATACATCCTTGTGTTGTATAATGATAAATAAATTAGCTTGAAGTCTGTGTGTTAAAACTACAGAGCTAGACTTTAGCCTAGCTAAAAGCATGGGGAAACGGCTAGCCTGGCTCTGTCTAAAGTGAAAAAATGCACCTAATAACAACAACTTTAATCTGACTTATTAACAAAATGCTGAACTAGTCAAGGTACAAGGTTGTTTATTAGTCATTAAACAGTACAAGGCTGCATAACAAAACAAAATTAGTTCCTTCCTGCTACACACACAACATATTAAGTGTAGGCCTATCAAAATATGGAAACATAAATTAAAATAAAACAATATATAGTTTTTTTTATGTACATATATACAGACACGTATACACCCAGAACATTCTGCAGTGCATTTATTGAATTTGCATCTGGGGTGAATGTAAACAGCAGCAACCAGATGAAAATATGAAAGTTTCATCTTCACTGGGAAACAGAGTCCACCTCCTCTCATCTTTGCCGGAGTCTTGCGCTGACAGCTCTGAACATGGACCACCTGCTGAGTGCTTGATCCGGGACTTTACTAAAAATACTCAAAAGCACTGTATCATCAAATCTTTAGAAAGAACACAACAAAATCCTCATTGATATCTAAAGAGACTCTACCTTGACCAGCCCTTTACAGAGAAAACACCTGGTTGTCTCCTCCTCCTCTCCTGCAGACTGCAGCGACAGCTTCTTCTTGGCCCTCACACTCCCAAAAGCAATGGGGATGTGCAGCGGAGGCTGCAGGCTGGGCTCAAAGTCCATCCTGTACTCCTGTTTTAGCCAACGGGCCGTCAGCGGCAGTCTGTTCCACGGTGCCACTCGCAGCATGTTGGAGACTACCCGCCAGTGGAACTCCAGGCTGGACTCTTTCCTGGAGCGTCGAGAGACCTGGGAGAGACGCCTGGAGGAGTGAGGGTGCTGCCACGCCCACTCAAACTGCCAAATATAATGATGATAGATAGAATAAGGACACAAAGGCTTTTAATAATACCTGGAATGGAATTTAAGACCAATATACTATGAATTTAACCCCCCATAATACAAATGAAAATAATGGAATAAATTGCTTTTCATCAAACACATTTATTTGATGAAAAGCAATTTATTCCATTATTTTAATTCATATGAATGAGCAGAGTAAGACAAATGACACCAGGAACTGAATAATTTAATTTTAATTTAACTTAATGGAAACAATCTGAAATTGAATTTACTAAAGACAGAAAACACAGTAGTACTACACTTGGATTAAACATTTGATAGAGCTATTTAACATGGGTTTTCATTAAAAACATAAAAACTACTTAAGATTTTCAAAAGCTGACGGAAAAACTTTATTCAGCATTCTAACAAGTGAGTTCATCTAAAGTCTGGAATGCAACAAGAAACCTTTGTGAGCCACTGACCCACACTTTTATTTTTATTTTCTGTGCCAAAAAGAGGCTGAAAGTGAAACTAAATGGAGTCTATTCACTGATTCTGGATTTAAAACTCATCAGTATCTGTGGAATCTGAGTGAAAAGATGCTAAAATTGGTCTTGCTATTTTGTATCACTAACAGTCAGCTTCATGTGTGCTGAGGATGGGGCTGGTGACACTGTTCGACTGAAAAAGATGGCGACGTTTCAGAAGCAGTTTTCACACATGAGAAAATAACAACACAGAGTCGTTGTGTTGTTCTTTCTCATTCACTGTGAACTAACTCTGATGATTCGGGGGAGGTAATGAATGGATAACAAGGAGACTGAAAACTCCTGTTTCCATGCTAGACACTCTGCTGAGTTACTTATTTCTACTGAATGTAACTGTAATGAAACAATCAGCTAATAAAGTTTTGTTTCTCACATTCACTTCACTTTGTGGTCTCAAATACCATGTATCTGTCTCGCTGTTGACCAGTTGGGAAACCAACAACACAACTTTGTTTTTAATGTAAATCCACATAAGCCATGTCTTAATATTGATTCTAGAAGCATCTATGGCGGTTAGTAGATCTGTTTGAATGAGGCTGTACGTTGAATGAAGCTACAAGTTGTAGCTGCTGAGAGATCTGTTTGACCAGTGAACAACATTCAGCACTCCGCCCTGATTATTCCTAGACGGAAGATGCTACACCCAGATCAGAGTTAGGAACTGAGTCTGAGGAGCTTCGTTCCTCTGGTCAAAGCGCAGGTATGGTTCCTGAGCTCGCAGAGGAAACAGGTTTAAAGTCTAACTGTTGTTTCAGGGGTTTTACACGCTGGCAATACAAATTTCAGGTAAATACGGAAGTGTCTTCATGTTTTCGACTGCATATAGTCATATTTGATATAATTAACTTGGCTACAAAATACTTAGTCCAGTCACTTAAAAAACTGCCACTTACTTACCCTCAGGGCAGCAATATCAGAGGGAAAGCCATGAATAATGAGGACCATCTCCCTGAACAAAACAGAGGAAGATATGTAGGATGTGAGTAATAATGTGATTGCTTAGAGTGTCCATCATGCAGTATAGTACAGTAGGTCACACCATGGTCCTCTTCCACTGGTCCTCTTGGCCCCCCCTCTGTGCCGTCCAGCGTTGTGCTGTCCGATCCTGCGCTCAGGGTTCACAGTGAAGCCGATGTAAATACGGCCTTTGAATTTAGGGTTGGTGCAGTACAGCATGTACACACCAAAGAAGCTTTCTACCTCAACTACCATTGTAGAAGAAACTAATTTGTTATTATTAAGCTCCCTAATTCAACGATTACTTTAACACCAGACAGAGCACCCATGGAGCTACTTAACTAACGTTAACGTCAGAAACATAATGTTAACGTTAGCTAGTAAAGAACACGGTGAAAACGTACAAAGACGGACGATAGAATTAATGTAAAACATTAGCCAATTAATTTGAGGTAATGCTGTCATTATCACGGCAGCATTCCTTTTGCTAGAAGACAGATACTTTAAACATTGTCTTACAGAGACAGACCTCCACCGTCAGAACGTCTCTGTTTTCAACAAATGAGTGGATGTAACGTTAAGCATGTAAACAGTGTCCGTCTTAGTAGCCCACAAAACTGCCTGATAAAATATCGTTAAGAAGGACTGAATTTGTCCCAATGTGAGACTAATAAAAATCTCACATTATAAATAACAACGAATTAATGCTCATTTATCTTACAGTGAGTGAATTGTAAAAGTACAGTTTTGCTTACATGAATCACAATTAACATTTTAGTTCGTCCTTCTGTAAGGACCCCTAATATCATGATTCGCTACTTTAAAAAATATATCCCGCCCACAAAGTGCACAAGCCGTATCTGATTGGCCATCGTTTTCCTTTCTGCAATGCAATTGGATATTTCTACGGTCATACATGAGGGCAGCAACATCAACTCCACGCACAGTAAGTGAAATTAGCAGGAACACCGTACAAAATCTTTGGTAATGAGAATAAACTTCTAAATCAAAGCTGCATTTCGCAATTGTGCTACTACGGTGTTTTAATAGATATAGAAATTTAAACTTGAAGAATGCTTTAGCTTTTCCGGTGTTAGCGTGTCTGTTTTTCTGAAATACAAATCTAACGTTACTAACAATTAACTAGCTAAGGTTAGTAACAACAGTTTTGTTCATGCAGACATGGCTATAACCGCTGATCACATCCGGGATAAACTTATTAAGGAGCTCTCGGCAGTGCATGTGGTAGGTTTCTGGCTGTTATTTGTATGTTCAGCTAGCTGATGTGAGTGCTATAGCGAGCAAAAACACAGGCCAAACTCCCATCGTCAACATCACGGTGAAGGTTTAACGTTATGTTAGTCACGGTGTGTATGTTAGAAGAGGATATTGGAATTTTTATATAGGTTTAATTATGTAACGTTAAGTGACTTTACTTTCAGTGTAGGCTGATATGTGATGTGAATGCCACACAGCTGTCAGTTAGTAATATTACGCCAAATAAACCACCACTAAATTGAATGATTTTTGAGTGGAGTTTGGCGATGTGTTGCTCTAAGCAGGTCCCCAGAAATCTAATAAGGTAGAACATTAATTATACAGTCAATAATCATATACAGTCATTCAGTATAAGTAGCACGAGAACGAGCTAACTTTTGAGTGTAACTTTTATCTGGTCTCCTCCAGGATGTGGAGGATACATCACCCAACAGATGTGCTGCCAGCTTAAAAGTCCTGGTGGTGTCTCCGCAGTTTGAGGGCAAACCACTGTTACAGAGACACAGGTATTACACACTGTAGTAACTATCTGGCAACGCACGTTTGTAGTGCAGTTCTGTAGCAAAGTGTAATTTCTTCAGTGTTGTTACATGAAAAGATAGAATCAAATATTTACAAAAATGTGAGGGGTGTAGTCACTTTTGTGAGATACTGTACATTGGGTTCTGCTGTAGATTTCAGAATGTGACTGGTTTTTAAGGGCGAGTGGGGTACTGTTTGTCAGAAGTGACGTCATTCTCTACAGTATATATATACAGGTGCTGGTCATATAATTAGAATATCATCAAAAAGTTGATTTGTTTCAGTAATTCCATTCAAAAAGTGAAACTTGGATATTATATTCATTCATTACACACAGACTGATATATTTCAAATGTTTATTTCATTTAATTGTGATGAATAAAACTGAAAACTAATGAAAATCCCAAATTCAGTATCTCAGAAAATTATAATAATACTTAAGACCAATACAAAAAAAGGATTTTTAGAAATGTTGGCCAACTGAAAAGTATGAACATGAAAAGTATGAGCATGTACAGCACTCAATACTTAGTTGGGGCTCCTTTTGCCTGAATTACTGCAGAAATGCAGCGTGGCATGGAGTCCATCAGTCTGTGGCACTGCTCAGGTGTTATGAGAGCCCAGGTTGCTCTGATAGTGGCCTTCAGCTCTTCTGCATTGTTGGGTCTGGCGTATCGCATCTTCCTCTTCACAATACTCCATAGATTTTCTATAGGGTTCAGGTCAGGCCAGTTTGCTGGCCAATTAAGAACAGGGATTCCATGGTCCTTAAACCAGGTACTGGTAGCTTTGGCACTGTGTGCAGGTGCCAAGTCCTGTTGGAAAATGAAATCTGCATCTCCATAAAGTTGGTCAGCAGCAGGAAGCATGAAGTGCTCTAAAACTTCCTGGTAGACGGCTGCGTTGACCTTGGACCTCAGAAAACACAGTGGACCAACACCAGCAGATGACATGGCACCCCGAACCATCACTGACTGTGGAAACTTTACACTGGACTTCAAGCAACGTGGATTCTGTGCCTCTCCTCTCTTCCTCCAGACTCTGGGACCTTGATTTCCAAAGGAAATGCAAAATTTACTTTCATCAGAGAACATAACTTTGGACCACTCAGCAGCAGTCCAGTCCTTTTTGTCTTTAGCCCAGGAGAGACGCTTCTGACGCTGTGTCTTGTTCAAGAGTGGCTTGACACAAGGAATGTGACAGCTGAAACCCATGTCTTGCATACGTCTGTGCGTGGTGGTTCTTGAAGCACTGACTCCAGCTGCAGTCCACTCTTTGTGAATCTCCCCCACATTTTTGAATGGGTTTTGTTTCACAATCCTCTCCAGGGTGCGGTTATCCCTGTTGCTTGTACACTTTTTTCTACCACATCTTTTCCTTCCCTTCACCTCTCTATTAATGTGCTTGGACACAGAGCTCTGTGAACAGCCAGCCTCTTTAGCAATGACCTTTTGTGTTTTGCCCTCCTTGTGAAAGGTGTCAATGGTCGTCTTTTGGACAGCTGTCAAGTCAGCAGTCTTCCCCATGATTGTGTAGCCTGTGTGGAATGGATGTATACATTATACAAGTTTCACTTTTTGAATGGAATTACTGAAATAAATCAACTTTTTGATGATATTCTAATTACATGGCCAGCACGTGTGTGTGTGTGTGTGTGTGTGTGTGTGTGTGTATATATTTAACTCAAGCCCGCAATGGTGTTCGATTAGAGCTGCTGTGATTTAGGATGTGATGTATCAGCCTTGTGAGTGCAGGTATCAGCAGATGCCAATTATCCCAAAATTCCAGATATCATACAACACATACATTGTGGTTACCTAGGCTCACCTGACTCACTCAGAGAACAACACTGCTCGAGATGCATAACATTGCCCTGACTGCTGGACATGTACACACTCCAGACCTGTGTCTTGTGTTTGAACAGGATGGTGAATACGTGCCTCGCTGAGGAGCTGAAAGAGATCCATGCTTTTGAACAGAAGACCCTCACACCAGAACAGTGGGAGAAACAGAAATCACAATGACACACAAACACACACACATTATATCACACACGTGTCAGTTTATAACTTCCACTTTAAAACAGGCCTTATACTTATCTGATATGTAGAAAGACAACAAGTGCTCTACTTAATTTCCTGTAAATCAGCAATATTGACATAAATGCGATGGAATGTTCTGCTGGCAATAAAACACTTTGATGCTGTACTTGTCTTTGTTAGTTGTTTCCTGAAAGTAATTTATTTCAGATCTCAAGACAAGGGAATGTATTGAATGTAATCACTTTTTTGACGGTGTCAGTGTATATTGGATGCATATTTTACAACATTAGTCCTTAAAGGATCATTTCAGGACTTTTAAACCTGGGCCCTATTTTCACATTTTTGGAGTCGAACAGACTAGTAGGTACGAAATGTTTTGAATCATGAAGCGAATGGCTTCAATTAGGAGTCGTGAACCAGCTGCAGTGGCTGCAACATATTCCTTTGAGGCAATTGCGCCCATCAAAATTACATTAATAAGCTCAGACTGTTATACCAGGTGTCTGACAACATCATGGAAAGCATCCCTACGAGGGACTCCCAGGGACACCCTTTGTTTTTAACAGGAAACTGAAGTCTCACTCAAGGACAGTTCTGGCTCTGAAATCTGGTGAGAGGTGAGTTGTTGCAGGCAGACTACGGCGGAAACAGCTTTAGTTTTATTCTGAAGTGGGTTTACATATACAAAAAATTTGCTTCCTACACATAGTAGGAAAAAAATATAAGAAAGATTAAAGCAAGTCCTGCAGGTCAAGAATCAAAGGCTGTTATTTAAATTACAGTTTTTTGGGGATGTTCAATGAGAAGTTATTAAAGTACTCTGAAAAAAATCTGTTATTCCATGAGAAGAGGGCAAAATGTGTTGAATAATTTTTGACGTAAAGCTCCAGAGGAGCTGCCAAATAGAGCATGAGGTGAACTTCTTTAATCATATTTGTATTTTTAGGTGGAATGACTATCACTGCAACCTCTGGGGATCAGTGGGGGGGCTTTAGTCCAATGAAAGACCAATGTCAGGGACATGTGTGTTTGTGTTTATGAGTTCCATTTACCAGCCTCTAACAACAGATGAACGGGTCTGTAATCAAGCGCACACCATGTAAAGAATGGGCATTGCATATAAATTAGATGAATACATTAACTATACAAAACATCACTGTTGTGCACAATATGTTTATTCCCCAGTGAACATGGATGTGTACTAGTGACACAGGTCTCCACGAGGTGTTATTACGACCCCCTGCTTGTGGGGTTTTCAGGGCGACTCATCACAGCTGTGTGCTTTGATCAGTCGATCTGGGGGCTTTTTTAGGGCTCTGCTGGTCTTACAAACACCCATCAGCCACCTGAGCCCCCATCTACACTACTCACTTTTAAAACACAGTACAGGCCAAAGATGACCACAAGATGTCCACACTCGACTCTTTTTGAAAAGAGAATGAAACAAAAATTGGAAAATCAAATTATAATTTATTTTCTTAACTTTTTATGTGTCCTGTGTGATGTGAATTTGGTAGGTTTTTAATGAACCTGGTGAAGCCAAAGACAAGTTTCCACAAATGGATAATCAAGTTAAATCTTATCTTATCAATCTCTTTCTTATATCTTTCGTATATTTGTTATGTTTTAAGTATGTTTACCAGCTGAAATCTATTCGACTTGTATTAGTGATTAGTGATCAATTTCATGAAAAGTAATGATATTTATTCTTTTGAAGAGAAAATCTTAACTCTGGGTCCTAGCTTTTTAGGAGATTTCAGTGATAATTTCAATGTCTTCATCAGTTAATAGAGTTTGCTCAATATCAGAGTATGGAGGCCTTTGTGTGGAACTTGGGTCATCTTATGATTCGAGGTGGTTTTGTTTGGGAGATCATAACCTGTTAGTGGCCTCCTTGATTTGGAGTCAGTGATGAAACCTGGTGGTGGATGCAACAATACTGTAGCAGACAATGTTTCACTTTTGTCACATTGTACATAAAGAAGCACTTTCCTGTGTGACACATTCAGGTTTCAACATCTCATTTACATCCTCAGATTTATAGCGTGAAAATAAGAATCTGTTTGCAATAAGAAATGGCTGAATGCTGATTTGATTTTATCCTTCAGTGAACAAGAGACAGAAACAGAGCGAAGCATCGAGTGTGTGAAGATTACTTCCACCACTTACCCTCCCAAGGCCCGCTAATGGAAGAGCCGACGCGGGGGAGAGTGTATGTCTTTGTCTGAATGTGTGTTGGGAGTTTATTCACTGGTCAGGACAGAGCTTGTCTCTTTTCAGTTTTGGAGAGTACGACATTAACCTTGTAATTTATACCATAGCAGTTTCCCTTGGGGAGCGGTGAGTAATAACAAAAGAAGAAACAAAACTGAATCATGGAATACCGTATTCTGTTTGGCTTTAGTTTCAAGTCAAACCTGTGCTCCAGCCATTATCCATTATCAGAGCTGATCTGATAGAGGTTGAAGCCCTTACAGATACCACAATTTATGTGTTTTATGCTGCAATTTCAAGTCTATAGTTATCCTGTACTGTATGTTAATGTGTTAGCACAGGGGTTTTCAAAGTGTGAGGCGGGCCTCCCTAGGGGGACTCCAAACAGTTTCAGGGGAGGCTCAGTGAACGGCAGTGAAACAATATTACATTACTTATTGCATTATTATCATAATAATTAAGTATCATTATTATTATTGCATGTGTGAGAGTTCAGAGATACAGTAGTTTGTGGGAACTGTTCCCCCCCCCCATCAGAGTCAGAAACTAATAAATGCCTCAGGACACAAAACTTTTTAGTGTAGTCAGAAGTCAAGTCAAACAGCAATACTAGGCTATTTTAGCTCATATGTTGAGTGTCTATGGGATCAAATAATTTAATCATGATCCCACAGGCATCCAGGAATTGAGTGAAACTTTACAAAAACTAAAGAAGTAGTGTGTGTGTGTGGGGGGGGGGGGGTGTCCCAAGCTTTGCCTTGGAGGAGGCCCACAGTCTCAGACTTTGAAAACCCCTGTGGTGGCATGCACACAAACTATCCACCAGATGTCCACCAGAGATGTTTTTGCAAATCCCCCTCTCACATTTTAGTAAAGGTGATCTTAGAATCTTAGGCACTGTCCACATGTATATGGATGTTTTTGAAAACTAATGTTTTCCTCTACGTCACATACAAACTGAGTGTAGGTTCACTAAAAAAGAGATTTTTAAAAACACCTTCTAAGGTGCAAAAAGTGTGGAAACAATGACTTCATAACATCATCACAAATTTTTTGTGTTGCCTTTGAAGATAAGCTCTTTGGGCATACAACATTTGGACGTTGACATAGACTTTAGCGTCACCTACAACAAAGGTAATCTTTTAAAATGGAGGGAAAAAAATACATTTTCAAATGTCTTATGTTAAAATGCTGACTTGGTGTTTCAGGCATAGACTCCTATATAAAAAGGTTTCAGGGTAACAGAGCTTTTGCAAAATGCCAGCCAAGTGAGGGCTGAGGGCTGTGTGCCACTAAAGTTAAGAAGACAACCTTTAATCACTTCTAACTTTCTTTGTGATCACTAAATTTTCATTTTAAGTTTCCATGAAACAGAAAGCAGATCTATATGACTCCACATATTTATGTATTTTCCTGCAAAAACATGAAACTAGGGACCTTACCTCCCCCTGCCATGCACCTAGCAAACCAAACCTAGATGACTGGTGTAGTGAAAAGTGGCCCACTGCAAGGAACCCCGCTCCCTCGGGTCACCATCTCCGGACGCCCTTAGCGCATTAACCTCTAGCTAGGAGGCTAGGAATCTAGCCTCCGATAACAAGCTAGTTTCCACACTAGGTACTGGCCTGACCGTCTGTGTTGAATGTCTAACTCCAGATTCAAAAGTCCCCTAGTCAAGCCCTCACGCTTTAGAGTCCAGAGAGCAGGGCACTGTACACATAACCTGGAATGAGCTCCTTAAAGGGCCAATTTGCTGGTTATCTGTAATGAGGTGTGTTAATGTAGACAGTGTGGATGTTAAAGTAAATACTAACTTACCAGTCCAGAAGAGGGTGAAGAAAACAAAGACAAAAAATGAGACAAAAAAAGTTTTTAGTTTTCTTAAGGCGTGCACCCAAAGAGAAACTTATTTATTTTCAACAAGCCCCACAGAGTTCACGCAGAGCTGTAGCGTCAGCAAAGAAATAGATGCACCCCACCCTTTTCAACAATCATTGGCTTGATCATCACATTGGTTGGTTTTTACATTACTTTTCCTTTTATGGGTAGATGGTCCTTCTGTCCAGTAGTTGCAACACCCCTTTGCCTCAGTTCACAAACAATTCTCCAAAAAAGGTAATAAATCATATCATGCAGGTCTCTCATGTTAGTATAATCTTTTAAATGTTTGAAGGCCAAATATAGTAGGCCACACTTCTCGAACAAAATAAATGAACATCCCTTCTCTTACATAATCTTGAATGCATGCAGAAATAATAAAAAAAACAGTTTTAAATTCATCACTCCAAAAACAGAATACATTAAATCAATTCATGTCAACACTCATTCTATTCTCCTCATCTCTTTCTGGCCTCCCCTGCTCCTATAGTCACAATGTATGTGTCAGGCAGTCAAACAGTATCTATGAAGGCCCCCCAAGAACCAGAACCAGTTGCTTCCAGTGTCCTTTTCTTCACATCTATCTCATTGTCACAACACCAGGTAAGTAAGTACATTTATTGTCACAATATAACAGGTTATCGAGTGAAATTGAGCCTTGTAACTCCCTTCTTCTACGTAGCAGAGAATATACATACATATAAAAGCAGTTATAAAAATGGTAAACAGAAATAAACTGTCATCAGTGGAGCAGTGCTGAGGATGAATTAGAGTTTAAGAGTCTGATGGCTTGTGGGAAAAAGCTGCTCTGCAGTCTGGTGATGTGGCAGCAGAAACTTCTATATTTCTTCCCAGAAGGCAGCAGGGTGAACAGGCTGTGGCTGGGTGGGTGCTGTCCTTTAGTATCCTTTGGGCTCTGCAGGCACCTCACCTCACAGATATCACTGATGCTCGGGAGATGGGTACCAATGATCTTCTGAATAGAGCCCTCCGGTCCTGGGCCGTGCACATCCCATACCAGTTAGTGATGTTTCCAGTCAGGATGCTTTCTGTTGCTCCCCTGTAAAAGCTGAC